ACGTGACATACATCGCGCTTCACGTAGTTTATTTTGATGTATTAGTTCATTAGTTTAGGAGCGTTGCCACCCGCTGTAAGTTTTGGTTTAGTAGTTAAGAGTAGTTAAGTTAGAGCGTGCGAGTAGCACGCTGAAGATGTTGTTTTGAATTTTATTTTGATTATTCTAGGTTAGATTTAAATTCTTTAGTTAGAAGAATTTTGTTTTAAACAACATCTTCAGCGTGCTACTCGCACGCTCTAACTTAACTACTCTTAACTACTAAACCAAAACTTACAGCGGGTGGCAACGCTCCTAAACTAATGAACTAATACATCAAAATAAACTACGTGAAGCGCGATGTATGTCACGTGACATCTTATACTGCTCTCTTCCCAACATATAAGCAAAGAGCACGGACACACTCCACGCTCAAATCGATTAACAAACCTAAATACATGGGGTAAAATAAAGAATAAGACAAATCAACAACATAAACGGTAACAAAGCAAGCATACTTAAAGCTACAATAATTTCAAAGAGGCACACAAACACAGCCCAGCCTCCTCTCGAAAACAGATGCGACATCGCCTTTTATACTTCCGTCGGGGAGGCGTCAACGGAGACAACGGAGACCCATGATGAGTGACAGAAAGGGAGACCAATCAAGATCTAGTGGGAAACACAAACAAATTAATATACAAACATAACGAAATCGTAACACCTACAGTACAGTTAATCTGGTTATTATCGCACAATAAACCCAACATGGTGATCAGAACCCCTACGCAAAGTCATGATGGACATGAGTCTTGCACATATTTAGAGCAAAAGTTTTACATTTGAATAGGTACAATTTGGAAAATGAGCTTCTTTGTATTGCCAAAATAAACTGTATTGGCTGAAAATTGTTATCAGATTAACTCGTGTCACTGAATGGCCGATTTTCACTTCAAACTACTTGTCACTTCTTGTAGGCTGTCTGATAAATAATGCATATGTGCATTTGTCATTTTGCTCTTTAATCTTTCTCGGGACACACAGATGGCAGCTGCATAAACAAACATAAAAAGTTGCCAGTTTGGAAGCAGATTTCTTCATCCACTGGAAATGCTTTGCATATGGTGCAAACCGAGTAGTCACAAAATTAAGAGGACGGCATATAAAAACCTGTTAGACCTGCTTAGCCAGCCAATGGTCATTCTTCTGTTTAAATGGACTGCAGTGCATCACATACATGATCCCTTAACTTTAACAGTATTTAACAGTATTGAGTATTGTTGCTGTCAAGCTCCGCTGTCTTTTCTGTCACACAGTCTGGATAATTAGCATCTTGTCTGTGTATTGGCAGATTCAGGTTTCTCAGGAGACCAGCTTGGGTAATCTGCTTTTCCCACCACTTTTCAAATCCGTTAATGGCTCTTTCTCAAATCTCACAGTCCAATTTGAAAAGCAGTATTATCTTCCACATGGGAAATGAATCCTCTTTGCTGTGGAGGAATCACTTGTGTCCAGGAGATAAAATTCAAAATAACAGGTTCTTAAGTGCACTGACTCACTGGTATAGCTGGCATTTGTGTGGGAGGCTAGATTTCTTTCTGAAAAGGTAGTTTAGCAGGTGAGGAGGTCGCGCATACACCCACCTCTTCACTGGCGCTGCTGAGCAGAGCAGATTAACACACAGCTTGATAAAAACTCCCTGCTGTACAAGAGGAGGGTTGGATGTGACGGTGAAGATTACAGCTTCCTGTCCTTAAAGAGGTACTGTGGCGGTACTATTGCACAATGAAGGTATACCATTTCGATGGCACTTCAAATAATGCCATGGTATTAACATGATACTTGTCCAAAACCCTTAGCATTGGGGTCCAAAAAAAACATTGTAGTACCATAGTACGTCTTTGTTAGTAAATACACCGACATTATGACTTACAGTCAGCATTAAACTGAATTCTCATTTCATTTGCGCAATGTGATGCGTTGCAAAGACACTTGATATTTAATGGGGATGGTTGATTAGTCATCCAATTTATTTCTTATATTTTTGTAGTTTCAAATTATGTTTTAAGTGGAGGTGCTTTAATTAGCATGCAACATGGTAACACCATAGTACTTCTTCGTTAGTAAATATACCATTACTACTTATAGTCAGCATGAAGCTGCATTGTCAACCCATCCAATTTGCGTAATGTAATGCATTGCCGAAAGAAACAGGATTTGTCATGAAGAAAGTAAATAGGGTTCATTTTGATTTCATGCTGACTTAAAAATCTACTCCTGTGATGTCATTTTCCGAAGGATCCACCCAAATATTTGTACCAAACACCCTCTCTGAGGGCTGCCACTGTATGAAAAGTCTTGGCCTGAAATTATAAGGCATTTTTCTCTAGTTTTAGGCTGCATCGCACAGACTGAAATCCTTTGAGGTATTTTGGTGCCATCGCTTTTTGTCAGATTCAGTTACATTGTTAATTTAAGGGAAGATATTTGGTTTTGCTAGTATAAGTGTTGTTAAAGAGTATATAGCATTTTAAAGTAGACTGTCACTTTTTATTGGGAGGGGCTGCAGTGGGAATCTTAAGTATTCAGTGCGACTGATGGTGTTGGGTTCAGATTCACCACTCTCGCTGTACTTGTTTCAGAACGACTCCTGACAGATAAATGAACCTTCTCTGCTGTGTTACTGCTGAATATGAGAGTCCCTCAGCTAACCTTGGCTATCCAGCAGAGATTAGGCACATAAATAAATGAGTAGTTTTTCTACGAGAGGACTTTTATATCTGTCCTTGACGCAGCTTGCCTTCTTAAGAGGCTGAGATGCTGGAGGATTGAGCTGCTTTCTAATTCTGCGGGGTGTTCTGATGGGGGACGGGATGTCATTATTCACCACGGCTGTGGTTGTTAATGAGTGTGTCAGATGAGAGTATGCTCTTCTGAAGGGAAGCGGAAACATTAGGAAGAGGAAGTGGAAATTTAAAGCGATAGTTCACCCAAAAATCTAAATTCTGTCATTAGTTACTCACGCTCACGTCGTTCCAAACCCGTAAGACCTCCGTTCATCTTTGGAACACAAATTAAGATATTTTTGATGAAATCTGAGAGCTTTCTGACCCTGCATAGCCAGTAATGCAACTGAAACGTTCAAGGTCCAGAAACGTAGTGAGGACATCGTTAAAATAGTCCATGTGACATCAGTTAAAGCATATTTTTATGAAGCTGCGAGAATACTTTTTGTGTGCAATGAAAACAAAAATAACGACTTTATTCAACAATTTCTTCTCTAACGTGGCAGTCGATGAGCATTCACAAGAGTACCACGATGCATGCCTTAAACGTGTCTGTTGTGTTGCTGTCTATGGAGCTCTCGGATTTCATCAAAAATTTCTTAATTTGTGTTCCAAAGATGAACGAAGGTCTTACAGGTCTGGAAAGACATGAGGGTGAGTAATTAATGACAGAATTTTCATTTCTGGGTGAACTATCGCTTTAAATTTCCTTTAAAAAAAAAAAAAAAGCTTGTTTATGTTTAGGATAAACGTAGGATGAATTCAATGTGACATGGCCTTGTAAAGTTTTTTTGGCATATCTGACTCAAATCCATTGTTATTTGTGGTTTGAACAGGAAAAAACTTTTTACAAATCCAACTTTCATACATGGTTTGAAATCCAATTTTTCTAATGAAATCCAAAAAGATTGGATTTCAAGTAGTTTCTTTTATCTTTCAGGACTGTAACGTCATATGCAAAGCCTTGATTAACATACTATGTAGTGAATGCGTGAGATGTGTAATCCCTCAGTATGAGTTAAAGAAATGTCATCGAGGATATGAGCAAGGATTTACCTTCATAAAGGAATAGTTCACCCAGAAATGAAAATGTGACCGCGGACCACAAAACCAGTCATAATGCTCAATTTTTTAAAATTTAGAATAATTAAGCTTTCCGTTGATGTATGGTTTGTTAGGATAGGACAATATTTGGCCGAGATACAACTATTTGAAAATCTGGAATCTGAGTCTGCAAAAAAAAAAAATTTAAATTCTGTCGCGGACCACAAAACCAGTCATAATGGTCAATTTTTTTAAATTTAGAATAATTAAGCTTTCCATTGATGTATGGTTTGTTAGGATAGGACAATATTTGGCCGAGATACAACTATTTGAAAATCTGGAATCTGAGTCTGCAAAAAAAAAAAATTTAAATTCTGAGAAAATCGCCTTTACAGTTGTCAAAATGAAGTTCTTAGCAATGCATATAACTAATCAAAAATTAAGTTTTGATATATCTACTGTAGGAAATTTACAAAATATCTTTAATGATTTTTGGCATAAAAGAAAAATGGATAATTTTGACCCATGCAATGTATTGTTGGCTATTGCTACAAATATACCCGTGCTGCTTATGACTGGTTTTGTGGTCCAGTCTCACAAATGTACTTACCATCAGGCCATCCAAGTTGTAGATGAGTTTGTTTCTTAATCTGAACAGATTTGGAGAAATTTAGCATTACGCTGATAAAAACAAAACAATAATCCACAAGTAATCCACACGACTCCAGTCCATCAATTAACAGCTTGTGAAGTCAAACGTTGCGTGTTTATAAGAAACAAATCCACCGTTTTCAGCATATTTTTTATTTTTGGATGAACTATTCCTTTAAAAAGACTGTTGCAAACTGGAATCAAACTAGAGTTTTTCACATAGGCAGCAAGGCTCAACGTGCCAGAAGACTTGCACTAATTGCTAGTCCCTCAAAAAGCCACAAATTGCAGTTTTCCTTTGGGTTTGACTCTGTTAGAATAAACATTTGTCTTCATTTTCATACTTTATATTTTCTTTATTAATCTGTAAATCTGCTCTATTCTGGATTCGAGAAGGATGGTCAATACTTCATATGCAGACACTACTTGAGTCACCACAAATCTGAGCATGATTCATGATTCTTGGATGGCTAGTTATACTCTCTCTCTGTGTGTGTGTGTGTGTGTGTGTGTGTGTGCGTGCGTGTGTGTGCTCTTCAGGCTCAGCTGGTGGACCTGCGGTCGGAGCTGACAGATGTCCAGGCAGAGAAGGCTGTGGTGGAGAAGGAGGTTCATGAACAACTTCTTCAACTCCATGCCATGCAGCTCAAACTCCAAGCCAAAGGCGGACAGTCGGTCGACTCTGACTCCATCAAGGACAGGATGGTGGGCACAGCACCAGATTCCTACAAATGTAGCAGAACCAAGGCTAGGTTTAAATCTAGATGAGTTACTGAAAATTGGCTTGTAGGACACCTAGTTTAATATGTTAGCATTAAGGCCATCAACTCATTATGTGGTCAAAAGTATGTGGACACCTGATCACAGAAGATCTCATTCCAAAACTGGAATTAATGTGAAAGTTATAATGGCCTTCACTCTTTTGGGAAAGCTTTTCATTTGATGTGCCTTGAAGTAATGTTAGACTAACTATTTGAGTGGGATTTCGAGCAGGCTGATCAAGTTATTCCAGACCCATCTAAAAAGGATTGCTAGATGAACCAGCAGCCTGCTTTGCATGCAGGACTATTGCCATGGTGTTTGGCAAACAAACCATAGACTATCATTGTGTGCTGTAGGTTTAGTCTTCCATCTCTGGAACTTTGATTCCAAGAGAAAACCATCCCTATGTGTGAATCCATGTTACACAGTATGCAAATAGCAGATAAGCTGATAACTATTTTCTTGTTACAACCATTCTATAAGATTTTGTCTAAATAAATTACAAATAAAACCATAAAAGCTAACCTAACTGAATGAAAAATTATCATTAAAATATTATTGATAATTGAAAAACTATTTTAATTTAGAGTTTTGAGCATATTCATTTTGCTAAAGATTACATTTAACAGTGTTACTAAGTTATTAGTGTTTTTAAATATTAAATTGAGTGTTAGGTAAAGGTAATCGAAATGGTAAAATGAACATGCACAATTAAATATCCAATATCAAGTAAACATTTGGGGTTGGTAAGATTTCTAAAAACATTTTTGAAAGAAGTCTCTTATACTCACCAAGTCTGCATTTATTTGCTTAAAAATACAGTAAAAATAGTAATATTGTGTAAATATTATTGCCATTTAAAAAAAACATGATACATTTTTTTTAGGATTATTTGATGAATGGGAAGTTCAAAAGAATATATTTTATTTGAAATGGGAATCTTTTGTAACATTGTCTTTAAAGGGTTAGTTCACCCAAAAATGCGTTTTACTCAACCCCGAGGCATCCTAGGTGTATATGACTTTCTTCTTTCAGACGAATCCAGTCGGAGTTATATAAAAAATTGTCTTTGATCTTTCAAGCTGTTTAATGCCCCTCAGCGGGTGCTGCATTGCTTCAGTCCAAAAGAACTTAAATAAAAATCGCCCATCCATAAAAAAAAGTGTCTCACACAGCTCCGGGGTGTGAACAAAGGCCTTCTGTAGCAAATCGATGTGTTTTTTTAAGAAAAATATCCATATTCAAAACGTAATAATCACGTTAATGTAGCTTGCGCTCACTGTTGTACACAGAAGCAGTTCCGGGCTGATGACGTATGAGGTCAGCGTTGCGCATGCGCCGGTGAGTCTCGTGAAAACCAACGTTTGTTTACAGGATCAAAGGAAGCAAAGTTTCCTTACTTTAGCAAAGGAAAACCAGTCTCCTCTTGGCTTATATTTTTTCCCTCTGTTAATGCTGCTGCTGTCTGTTTTAACCATCCCTAGTAAAGAACTATGTTCTTTTTGTGTACTAGTAGATTAACTGCTAGAGGTGAGTGATATATTGGTAGCCGATACATTATTCACTGAAACCTTGGAAAATTGAACCAACTGATGGGGTTATAATGAAAAAGTAAAAGAATCTGTATCGGCCACCACATGCTGTTAAGGTGTGGTCATTTACTGGTGTTGGGTGAAATTTTGTGCGTGTTGTCCAGTATTTTAAATCCACATTATCATGAATTTTGCATGAGAACAAAACTGTTCCTTCACAGATTTTGCTCAGATTCATCACATTGACCAAGAGAAAGCTGCTTTGTTTGAAAATGACTCACTAAACTTTTGACAATAGACCTTTAATGTCTGTGAAATTTCACCAAAATATCGCTAACGTGACCGCACCTTTAATCATTGATACAAGCCGATCGATATCAGCCCTGAAGTTCAATATTGGTACATAGCTAATGCTAGATGTGTCTTTTTTCACTACAGGGGTTGTAACAAATGAAGAGATGCCATTCAAGTGGCTCCATTTCACACTACTGGTAAACTTGTAGTAGAGGTGGGCGATAGGACCAAAATGTTAATATCACGATACAAGTCATTTTATTATACGATAATGATATATATCATGATGTAGTTATTTTTTATTTAAATAAGGAGAACATTTTTGATACCATAGAAATTTCAGAATTGTTGTCACCAGTGTCAATTAGGGCTGTCAAAAATTTTTCGAATATTTGTCGAATTTAAAATAAAAATCCACATTCGAATGCAAAAACGTTGCATTCGAATATTAGGTGTGCGTCAGGCTGCCTTATCAGTGGCCCACGAAATGCGACGACGACGACGACGTAAGTGTCTTTGCATTTTAATGCTTTTGTTAGCCTGTCCATTTGAACCCACTAGATGCTACGTTGTTCATTCAAAATATTGCAGAAAAAGAGAACATCAATGCGGAGATGTTGTTGTTTACGTCAAAACTGAAACCAAGTCATTCACACAGAACGCATATTTATCACATTTTCTGTCTAGAGGGACATCTATCAGCACTCGCGTCTCGCACAAGAGAGCCGCATGTTTAGAAAGCCATGTAAAATTAATGCAAGTTCAACTTTTAAAAAACATGTCTCAAGACTTTATGGCGGTTTTCCCCATCCCACTGCATCTCATGTTTTTAAATGAAGAAAGTACTCTTTGTGATTGGTTTTCAGGCCTTTGTATTAAACTATACATGCATGATGCTGTTTTGTTTCTAATTGTTTAAGCAACTTTATTCATTATATAAGGTTTATAAATATTATTTTAAACATTATGCACTTTTTTCAAAAAGTGTTATTTTATTATGCTTTATTTTGCTTGTGGCCTCGAGAGAAGCCAAAAGCTTTTTTTCCCCCTAACTGAAATTATGCCTTTTAAATTAGAATATAATTTGAATATTGATAATATTTAAGTAAAAAATTTGAATTTAGTTTTTCATCCATTTTGACAGCCCTAGTGTCAATATGACTAAATAAAATAATACTAGCCTGAAAAAACAAACAAACAACAACCTCAAGCTCACTGACGACAAGTAAACATTCAGCGATTAAATAAGAAACTAATTACAAGCAATAGGAAAAAAACTACAGTAGAACAAATAAAGAAATTCTACATATATTGTATAAAGTAATCGAATGTATAAAAACACTGCATATTCTGCACTGTGTAAATTAAATATATATTTCTTCTTATTAAAGTTACAAAAGTGATTTAGTCAAGAGCAGTGAGAAATTTTCTCTCTTTTGTTGTTTGATTAACATAAGCAGAACTATTTGACTGCTGTCACTTTAAGAGCTGCCCGGATCCAATATACTGTTACACGTGTTTTCTTTCTCAGCTTTTTGCTTTCACTTAAGACCTAAATTACTGTGTACGAGGATAATTGCAAAGACGGTCATTTTGACGTATACAAGTGTGTGTATTTCACTGTTCAAGGCGACAAAAGAGGCAAAAATAAATCCCACGCTGCATGATCGCAGTCTTCACATGCGCGCGTAATGCATATAGCGAAATGAGTTCTCTTTCGCTGCTGATTGCGTTTCAAAGGCTTAAAATCGATCGTTTTAAAAGTTTCGCAATGCTTAAAAATGTGCGCAAATGATAACGGTTTTCTTGACCATGTGGCACAGCAATGTCATGTGAGCGTGTAACCACGATAGAGATGATAGTTCAAAATCTCTACCTTCTTCTTGACAAATTTAAACCGGTAATCGTGTCTATCGGTATATCGCCCACCCCCAACTTGTAGTAATTATGATGTTAAATCTACATTTGTTCGAAAACATCAAAATAGGCACACCACAGCTCCAGAGATAGAGCAGTATTTAGTTATGTTCTCACCACAGGTGACGTTTCGAGCTTAAACGCTCTTCATCAAATCTACATTTGTTACAACTCTATAGTATGTGCGCACACATTTAGTGGTATGTTTAAGCTAGAGTGGTTGTTTGTCCTGCGATCTCACCTCACTTGTCATATGCACTGTTGTGAAGTTGTAGTTTTTGTGGTGACGTAGGTCTTCTGTTTCTTGTCCTATTGGGCAGCACATTAGAAAGGCTGTTAATGACAGAGATTTGATGTGACTGTTATTAACAGACTTGCATCAGTATGCATACATGGTCAGAGGTTTGGCGCACAACTGCTCACCTCGTGTCTTTGTTTGATTACATGTCACAGGAGAAGGAACTGGAGGCCAGTAAGAAAGAAAAAGTGAAGGAGGCCAAGTTGGAGGCAGAGGTGAAGATGTTGAAGAAAGAGAACGAGGCCCTCCGCAGGCACATTGCGGTACTACAGGCTGAGGTGTACGGAGCCAGACTGGCAGCCAAGTATCTGGATAAAGAGCTGGCTGGGAGGTAAGAGACAGCATTGTTCTTCTGTTCTGATTGACCATTATGTGGGATTCATGTGGCGATTTCTTCCACACAAAGAGCCAAGATTGGCACAGAGTTCTGGGTGTCAGTATAAACCTGAATGTGCTTTTCGTTGTATTCAGGGTGCAGCAGATCCAGTTGCTCGGGCGAGACATGAAAGGACCAGCTCATGACAAGCTGTGGAACCAACTTGAAGCTGAGATTCACCTGCACCGCCACAAAACAGTGATCCGAGCCTGCAGGGGGCGCAATGATCATAAAAAACCCTTGCTATCACCTGTGGGGCATGTAAGATAGCACATTCAGTTCATTTACTTGGTAAAACTGCATGCAGAAGGTGAACTAATATCTTTGAGATATATCAGAGTAAAATTTGACAATACAAGCGAATGATGTGCCTTGAAAAATTTCACCCCAAAATCAAAATCATAAGTTAAAAATGTAATTTATTATAGCTGCAGCTTGTTTATTGTCAACAAAGTAAAATCTAATTCATTACTTCAAGTAAAAAACTAAATAAAACAACATTTACAAAAATTAAAACATTTTATTTCAGCTAGATGCCGTCAACATTTTTTATTTTATTATTTATTTTTTATTTTAGTTTACTAAGTACTAAAATAACTTAAAACTAAATTACAAAAACCTTAACTAAAGTTAAAATGAAAATATAAAATAATAATAAAAAATATAGTAGTACATTAATGAAACTAAAATAATATTTATTTATTTTTTAATAATAAAATTTTGCATTAAACAACTAACAGTTTAATTAAATTTAATCTTAAAAATAAAATGTTAAGCCCATTTTTTTCTGCCCTGACATTTAAGAATCTTTAAAAATATATTTAAATGTCCATATTTACTTATTTATATATTTAAATTAAATATATTTGAGATATATTAAATATAAAATTAAGATTTTTATATTTAAAAATTAATATTGACTTACTATAATTAATATTTAAATTAATATTAAATATACTATATAATGCCAGTCACAAGAATGAGATTTTTCCACAGTACAGCTGGCTACTATAAATATGAAAATAATTTAGACAATAAAAATAAAGACAATATAATAATCTATGAAACAAGCTTAATTATTTATATGCACTATACATAATTCTATAAATAAATATAGTAGTTTGTTTGATTTTGTGGTGAACTATGACCATTTTCGTTTACCTCTGCAGGACACAGATTCTCTGAAAAAGACTCAGGGAGTCGGCCCTATACGCAAAGTGGTTTTGGCCAAAGAAGATCATGAAGGACTTGGCATCTCCATTACTGTGAGTTCAACCTTTGATTTTATATGCAGGCTAATGTATGTTCCAAGATCAAAGTCCTGATTTGATGTTTGCATTGGAATTAATACAGGGCGGGAAAGAGCACGGCGTTCCCATCCTCATCTCCGAAATCCACCCCACCCAGCCTGCAGAGCGCTGCGGAGGACTGCATGTGGGAGATGCCATCTTAGCCGTCAACAACATCAACCTGAGAGATGCAAAGCACAAAGAGGCCGTCACCATCCTCTCACAGCAGGTGAGAGACATGCACGGTTCAGTTTGCAGCCCGGCGAGGGGGCTGTCAGATCAGGCTTAGCGTGTGACCTATAACTTATTATTAGAACCATGTTTCAATCCCATTCTAACACCTGCAGAGAACCTCCCAAAAGTTAAGATACCCTGTTTGGGGGGCTTTTTTGGGCTGACAAGCTATGCAATATCGCATTCATAATCACAGATGAATCGCATTAGATTATGAACGTGATATTGCGTAGCTTGTCAGTGAACTACGGCTCTGTGTAGTAAATGCCGCTCCATTTGAAAACAGGTGATGGATATTTACTACTAATCACAGAACCGGCTTTACTGACGAGACACGTGTGACAATCGCATGCGATTAATTGTGCAGCCCTACTTGTGAGGTGTAATGACTAACGGTTTGAAGAGAACATACCTGTTAATGGAATTGTTCACCCAAAAATTGTCATTTCCTCACCCTCATGTTGTTCCAAACCCATCTGACTTATTTTCTGGTGAACACAAAAGGTGGGCGCTCTTTTCAATTTCCTAAAAGCAAATGAGGACTTGGTCTGTCAGGCATCATAGATGAATAAGAAGTGGTTTATGTGACACATGCGCAAGTCTTCTGACGTCATATGATAGGGCTGAAAAATTAAATTTGAATTTTGCACTTAAATATTATCAGTATTTTAATTATATAAAAATTTAAAAGGCATAATTTCAGTTAGGGGGAAACACGCTTTTGGTTTCAGTTTTGACGTAAACAAGATCTTCTCCGCACTGATGTTCTCTTTTTCCGCAAACCAACATTTTTTACGCACACCTAAAATTCTATTTTTATTTTAAATTCGATGTATATTCGTAATTAAAATTTTTATTTGACAGCCCTATCATACGATAGCTCTGTGTGAGCAACCAAAGGTTATATTTACCTCGCATAACAAACAGGACTGACATTTATACACGCACCCACACTTCCAGACATTCACACAGTTTTTTTTGTTGTTGTTCTGCAGAGGGGAGAAATTGAGTTTGAGGTGGTTTACGTGGCTCCAGAGGTGGACTCTGACGATGAGAACGTGGAGTATGAAGATGACAGCGGACACCGCTACCGTCTGTACCTGGACGAGCTGGAGGAGGGATCAGAAGCCAGTCACAATAATGGCACTGCCGACCCCGCTTCCCTACAAGGCAAGTGCACTGAATTAATAAAATTTTTTATTTGACAGCCCTATCATACGATAGCTGTGTGAGCAACCAAAGGTTATATTTACCTCGCATAACAAACAGGACTGACATTTATACACGCACCCACACTTCCAGACATTCACACAGTTTTTTTTGTTGTTGTTCTGCAGAGGGGAGAAATTGAGTTTGAGGTGGTTTACGTGGCTCCAGAGGTGGACTCTGACGATGAGAACGTGGAGTATGAAGATGACAGCGGACACCGCTACCTTATTTATTTATTTGTGTATTTATTTATTTATTGTTTTTGCAGGTTTCGTCCTCCATATATTTATACACACATATTTATTTATTTATTTGCATATTTATTTATTTATTTGTGTATTTATTTATTTATTGTTTTTGCAGGTTTCGTCCTCCATATATTTATACACACATGTTTATTTATTTATTTGCATATTTATTTGTGTATTTATTTATTTATTGTTTTCGCAGGTTTCGTCCTCCATATATTTATACACATATTTATTTATATATTTTCTTATTTATTTATTTATTTTTAATTTCTGCAGGTTTGGTCCTCCATAGTTTTGTTGTGGTGTTAATAAAAGGGCTTTATTATAGTTTAACAGTCTGCAGTTGCAGTAACTCATTTAAACATGAGGTGGCAGTACGGCTTGACAGAACAAATACAAATCATACAGTATAAGCAATCAAATCAATCAAATTTACATGTGTAAGGCGTTTTAGTGTAAGAATAACTTTTATATTGTTGGTAATATTTCAAAATGAACACTTCCTAGACTGAGGCAACTTGGGTTTACTTGACAATCCTTACACTTTTATTTTTTTTTGAGTATTAAACATCATACGTCAGGTTTTTGAGGGACGTTTTTGTTAATCTCTCAATCATCGTTGCATTACATTGCATTAGACGTTTGCCCCCACTTTGATCATAAAAGCCTTTAAATAACATCTTACTAAACATAGCCTATGTCGGCCTCTGAATAAAATTAAGGCATTTTTCCTCCTCGATTTCAAGCTTCATCTTCTATCATACTAAACGTGCCATCAAAGCGTGATATATCAAATATGAGACTTTAATAAACTGTTTCATTCTGACTATTAGCCTGTTTAACACCAGGGTTCACACTAGGGTTAAAACTATTCAAATCTCAGGAAGGTTTTTGTCTTCATGGAGACATGTCATGAGCCCCGTCAGACTGGTCGTGGTGGCGGTGTTGCAACAATATATAGTGATATTCTCAATGTTACTCAGAAGACAGGATACAGGTTTAACTCATTTGAAATACTAATGCTTAATTATTATTATTTTTAATTCCAAGGATGTACAAATGGAAATCTGTTTTTGTTATCTCTAGAATATGATTAAATAAAATGCTATATCCTGTCATCGTCGCTGGAAAGTGTGCTTCCACCGGTCCACCCTGACTAGCACTGAGGAAGCTAACGTTAACGTACCGTGTAACGCTACGGTTCCTCCACATACTGGCTTCAGTGAAGGTCTGGATGACAATACTACAAAAAAAAGGTAATTTCAAGTTTAGTACACACTAAATTAAGCACATAAACCATAAAAAATACCAGAAAGAATAGTTGCGGCAGAAGCGAGGCACTCATGAATATTAATTACGTAATGTCACGTACTTCGCCCAGTTGGCTTAACTCATTTGCTAAAAGGCGGACGATTGTAATGGTGAACGTCTGGATGACAATACTACAAGAAAAGGTCGTTTAAAGTTTAGTACACACTAGTTTAAGCATATAAACCCTAAAAAATACCAGAAAGAATAGTTGCGGCAGAAGCGAGGCACTCATGAATATTAATTACGTAATGTGACGTACTTCGCCCAGTCGGCTTAACTCATTTGCTAAAAGGCGGACGATTGTAATGTAAGTTAACTTTTATTTTAATATATGACTTGGCTCTTCATGAAGGTATTGAAAGCAACGTGTTAATATTCATAGACTAACTGGATTCGTTATTTAACGCATCCTGGCGTGAACTAACAGCCCACACAAAGTTCCGCTTCCCACAAAGACCGCCCACACACACTAAAAAAACTCAAAGCTGTTTCACGAACCACGATAAGTTTATGACATTACCTTTTTCTTAATGTTTGACAACACATAAGTCATTAAACACCATTATAAAATACTTAACATCAGCAGCTCGGACAGATGAATTGTCTGTTAGTTATTTTTAATTGTTACCAAACTTTGTCTGCATGCTTTACGTTTGACCATATTTTATACCCTAAAAATAGCCTATGGTAAATGCTATTCTTCCTTCCTGTATGATTGCATTTTTTGCACATATACCAGAATTGGATACACACGGACTCATAAACATTTGTGACCCTGGATCGCAAAACCAGTCTTAAGTGTCAATTTTTTGAAACTGGGACTTGTACATCATCTGAAAGCTGAATAAATAAGCTTTCCAGCGATGTATGGTTTGTTAGGATAGGGCAATATTTGGCTGAGATACAACTATTTGAAAATCTGGAATCGGGGTGCACAAAAATCTAAATATTGAGAAAATTGCATTTAAAGTTGTCCAAATGAAGTTCTTAGCAATGCATATTACTAATCAAAAATTAAGTTTTGATATATTTACGGCAGGAAATTTACAAAATATCTTCATGGAACATGATCTTTACTTAATATCCTAATGATTTTTGACATAAAATACAAATCGATAATTTTGACTCATACAATGTATTGTTGGCTATTGCTACAAATATACCCCCTCGACTTAAGACCGGTTTTGTGCTCCACGGTCACATTTGTGGCAGTCGGTTGGGCCAGAGATTCACTGCTGTGCTTTAATGTTGCATACTTTGGGTGGGAAATGTGATACAGGGCGCCTGAACGGTAGATTTAAACAGCAGGGTCACCATCAGCTGCTGCCCCATAACTAACACCCCACCGTTACATTCCTGATCACTGTCCCACAGAGACACCTCATGTGTGACATCCTGCCGGTTTTGTGCTCCACGGTCACATTTGTGGAAGTCGGTCGGGCCAGAGATTGACTGCTGTGCTTTAATGTTGCATACTTTGGGTGGGAAATGTGATACAGGGCGCCTGAACGGTAGATTTAAACAGCAGGGTCACCATCAGCTGCTGCCCCATAACTAACACCCCACCGTTACATTCCTGATCACTGTCCCACAGAGACACCTCATGTGTGACATCCTGCTTTCACCAAATACTTGCGTATTCATGCCGATTCTTCACATTTTTTAAAGCAAAGCGACCGTCACAGGACGGGTTGAACAACTGGTGCTTTTAATCAGGGTTTAGACAAGCACAAACACTGCACTGATATTCTCAGTGGCAAAGCACTTCAACACATCAGCATGATCAGATCCTCACGGGCATATCAAACATGAACCATCAAGCACATCCCCCAAAACATTTCACAGAAATGAAGACCTGTCAGTAATCTTTAACAGGGATTGTCCCTTAAACAGCAGCAACTCACAGATCTTCTGGATGCTTAAAGGGATTATCCACGTAAAAACAAAAATACCTTCATCATTCACTTCAAACCAGTATGAAGTTATCTCTTCCGTGAAACACAAAGAAGAAATTTTGAAATTTTGAAAAAAAAAAAAAAAAAAAAAAAAAAAAAAAAAAAATTCCTTCCATTTTTGAGCTTGACAGCCTCTCATTTTCATACACCATTTATCATTTCTTCTCATGTTCCACAGAAGAAAATAAGTCATATGTGACCCTGGATCACAAAACCAGTCTTAAGTGTCAATTTTTCAATAGGACAATATTAGGCCGATATACAACTATTTGAATATCATGGAATCTGAGGGTGCAAAAAAAATCTAAATATTGAGAAAATCATCTTTAAAGTTGTCCAAATGAAGTTCTTAGCAATGCATATTACTAATCACAAATTAAGTTTTGATATATTTACGGTAGAAAATTTACAAAATATCTTCATGGAACATGATCTTTACTTAATATCCTATTAATTTTTGTCATAAAAGAAAAATCTATAATTTTGACTCATACAATGTATTTTTGGCTATTGCTACAAATATACCCCCGCGACTTAAGACCGGTTTTGTGCTCCATGGTCACATTTGGGTTTGGAATTAAATGAGAATGAATAAACAACAATTGTTGAGTGAACTATCCCTTTAAATAATCATCGACAGCACAAAGTAACATCATTTGTTTTTTTAACTAAATATACATTTCAAAACTGTACATACATATGTATACTCCTATAGGCAATCCAAATAAAGACAGTATGAAATAAGACTAATTTTTAGTCTGTTATTGCTTTAAACAGCCAGTTTTCACATGGAACAAAGGGAGTCTAAAACAACAAAGTGAACACAAAAATATTCAGCATGAAAGAAAGATCAAAAACCTTTGCGATATCAATTTGCTTGCATTATAGGATCAAGCTAATTTTGTTGCATTGACACACAGCTTGCTTCCCGTTTGGATGGTGTTAGGCTATTTTAATGGTGTTTTTCCACGTCATTTCGTGCGTTTTGATTGGTGTAGGGACATGAACATGGAATGGTTCTTGGTCCTAAAGGAGACGGACCAAAGTAAAAGTTACTCCAGTTCCAAAACATCTCCTTCCAACAGATCTTTTGATCTGCTTCCTGAAATGTTTTTTTTTTTTGTCCGAAGCCCTAGGTTAAAAGAGACTTTTCCGATTTTCAACCAGCTTTGTATTGTTACAATGTCAGTAGTATATATCGAAATGAACAATGCATATTCTTTCTCCATGTTACCTACACCCAAATGCACCAGTTTATGTCAACAAAAGTCTGTTAGATTGTGCAAAACACATCACCTGGCTGTCAAACGTCTTTTGCTGGCAAATTAACGGAGAAAGAGTATACATTGTGCATATACACATTACTAATGACACCTTAAAACAAAGTTGGTTGAAAAATCAGTGAAATTGCCCTTTAGGGATGTTCAAAGCAGAGTCTGACAAAATTGAGATGATGGTCACATTGTAGAATACATGAAATTCTGGCTCGCATTCACAGTTTGTGTCCGTAGGGAATGACCGGGGAACAAACAGGACAATTTTATACAAATCTTGATATGTCAAGACAAAATACATCATATATGCAAAAAAAACCAAAACGTTAAATTACACAAACTGATGGCATCCGTTACGGCCTCCACAAAAATGCAAAAACAAGTTGTCCCTCATGCACAAATAAGTTAAAGAGTCTGGAGGTGGTTCTGTTGAGTCAGGTAAATCAGGCACATCACAGTGTGGTTCTTCTCAGCTTCCTTCGGAGCTGCTGCCCTCCGGGTCCGGTCTGAGTCCGGAGAAAGGCAATCTGACGCAGTCTCTGGGAGTGGAATAGCACTCTCGAACTGGGGATTTAATCTGGGTTCTCTGGTACTCCGAGCAACTCCCGTTCTGCATGACGGGTTTCAGGATTTTAGGGCTGTCGTAGATGTCCTCTGGGTAATTCCCCCTGTCCGTTTTGACGTGGGGCGTTTGGTAGCTCCCGGCAAGCCCTCCGATCACTTTTCTACAGTTACTGCCCTTCACCGCTCGAAACGACGGGCTTTTGTTTAGTACCACGCCTGGGACGCTGTAGCTGGGATCCGGAAGGAAGGGATCTTTGCGGAAGGCGTGGCGCTCGATGATGGGCGTGGCGTACTCTGGCTCCTGATTGGTCAGTGGCAGGGCGTACTGGATGCCCGTCTGCAGGTGGTCGTAGTGAGAAGTAGCCTCGATGTCTTTGTCCTCAATGTCCATGGGTCTGAACGTCGAGCCTTTTCGGGACACCGTGTCTGTGCCGAGCATGAGAGGCTGCTGGTACTCAGCTGAAGAAAAAGAAAAAGGAAATAGTTAGTAACTTCATAATAGTTGTTTTTCTAAAAATACCCCAATCTTTACTGTCAGTGTTATTTTAGTATTATAGAATTTATTCATATTTTGAATTTGATTAGTTTTATATTTTCAGTTTTTAAGTTTTAGCAATTTTGTTGTGCTTTTGTAATTTCTTTTAGATTTTTTAAATATTTCTATACAGCTCTAATTTTTATTATTTTATTTTTATGATTATCAATTTTAGTAGTTTTAGTACTTCAAATTTTATTTCAGTTAGTTAAGTATTTAGTAGGCAAAAAAGATTGAATTATTTATACTGAATTATTAGGATTTAAGATCTAATTATTTATATTATTTCAGCTCTATTTTAATTTCAGAAAATTATTTTTAATAATTTTAGTAAGGGCTTATTATCGTTAACTAAAACTAAAACAATAAAAAAAATCATTACTTAAAATAAACATTAACTGAAATAAAATATATAAAAACCTTAAACTTTATATGAAAATTAGAAATATTGCTGAAATAAAATAAGTTTAGGAAATAAAATAATTGATACTAAAACCAGAGCTTAAACTATGCAGACATATAACTATACAGTTTTACATTAAAAAAAATATATATTAAAACGAAATCTAATTCACAATATTAATAAAAAAATATAATGACACACAAATGATCCTACATTTTTTTTTAAAAACACTAGTTTTAGTAAACAATAACAACACTATTTGTTGGTCCACACAGTGAAACTCAATGGAGTCCAATGTTGTTTCGGGGTAAAAACGATTTAAACATTCTTCAAAATATCTTCTTTTGTACTCCAAAGAAGAAATTGTTTATGCCAAGCCATACTGAAACCTACCTGGCTAACTAAGCAAGCCATGTTCATAAATCTGGGACCATAAACTCTAAAGCCATCAAAAATGAATGACATACAGTACTATAGTTCATTTTCACACACGTTCCTGACAGCCTAAAAGAGGAACGACTGACACGGTAATAAAAACCAAAATATAGACAAATTGTTGCAGCAAGAATTAATTCAATGAAACATTTTCAGTATTTGCTCAAAGGGGCTTCAAGTCAAGCAGCGGGCTTGAAATCAGACTGCCTGTAATCTGTCTGACGTCTTGCACAAACCTTGAATCATCAATAATTACAGCCCTGGAGGAGTGTAAGGGGGAAAAGTGCCAATTAAATTTGAGCAGGCGTTTTCATCTGGCAAGCTTTCAGGCTGCTACAACTATTTCAAAAGTTAAAAGTTATTTTCCTTCTTCAGCTCAGTGAAGGACCATAAATTGCCTTACAATTTGAACCCCTTTATCAGACAATAAAAAAACTCCCCTCTCTGACTTTAGTTGCAGCCACAAAAATGAAACGCTCTGGCTTTAAATCCATATTTCCACATGAACACGATGTCCTAACCACTTTGTCCTAAAACAAAGCGATAAATCACATCTCTTCAATGTTAAGTGTTTTTTGTCTGAAGTTATTTTCCTTCTTCAGCTCAGTGCCTTACAATTTGAACCCCTTTATCAGACAATAAAAAAACTCCCCTCTCTGACTTTAGTTGCAGCCACAAAAATGAAACGCTCTGGCTTTAAATCCATATTTCCACATGAACACGATGTCCTAACCACTTTGTCCTAAAACAAAGCGATAAATCACATCTCTTCAATGTTAAGTGTTTTTTGTCTGACTACGACAAGCAAACTGTGCTATGAAACATTTGTTGGTCACTTGGGCTCTATTACCATCTTGGCTTCAGTGCTGGGAAGTACGTAACATTAAACTGACATTAACTACATTCAGTGGCATGCTACCAGCTCAAAAGTTTTGTTGCTTTGGATTATTATATTAAAAGTTTGGGGTCAGTAATTTGTTTGAATGTTTTTGAAAGAAGACTTTTATGCTTATCAAGGCTACATTTGTTTATATAAAAATACAATAAAAATAGTAATATTGTGAAATATAATTACAATTTAAAATAACTATTTATATTTAAAAAAAAAAGTTTTAATTAAAGTTGAAAACAGTTGTGCTGCTTCATATTTTTGTGGAAAAACTGATTATTTTTTGAATTATGCCTTGCAATGCACCTTATAATAATCTCATGAATAATTGTAACCACAGTTAATACATTATAACACTTCTCAATTCATTGACACACTATGCACTTTAAATTGTTATAATTATTTACAACCAGATATAATGTATTACAATGCACATCATGAATAATCACAATGTATTATACCCTTTAGTAACCCTTTATAATGTATCATACATAAATGCATTGTTACACCACTTTTTTTTCATAAAGTTATCAAATAATGTCAGAAGATTGCTTTTATGGTGATCTTGTTTTTGGCACCACTGCTCTCTATCTATTCTCGCTGTATAAAAAAAGTGCAGTTTGAACATTTTTGTAAACATCTTGCTTTATGTTCCACTGAAGAAACAAGTCATATGTTTATAACAGCTTTGGTGTTTCTAAAAGGTTTTGAGAATTATTCATTTAAATGTTCCAACCAGTTCATTAAAAGCGATTGTTTTACCTGTATGTGTCTCCGCAGAGCCATACGTGTTCTCCTTTGTCTTCTTACTATGGGACAATGAAAAACACCATCATCAGAGACACAGGTGGCAAAGTCTATGGTCTCTCACCACCTTCATCACTCTTAAACAACAGAAGAAGCCTAATAATTCCCTTGAAACACCTCCATAAGAGGTTTCCATTCATTCATCCTCATTTCCCCACAATCTCCCTGTCCCTGAGCTCTCTCTCGGGGGACTAATACAGCTGGCACATCTCCTGACACTGACCTTTGACCCTCAACCCCCCTTCACCCCCCGCAGCCCTCAATCTCTCCATTCTTTATGAATCTAAACACCACTGCAAAGTGTTGCTGAGGAATCACAACAGGCCATACAGGGTTTGCGCTTTTATTGACACCAGTGGCTGTGGTATCTATTAGGGCAGGCTGGGAATCACTGGTGCATGTACATACGTGATGCTGAGACTGTGTCTGCTGTGTTTGATAACAGGACTAGTAACAGACTGTAGCTGAACTGAGATAAGCTTGCTGTGCTTCAATGAATGTTAACATATCGGACTCTACCTCCCTCTCACGTCAGACACAACATGGAGAATACAGACAAAACAGTCTTAACTTTCATCCTTTCTTCAAGTCAACATGAAAATAAAAATGGACCTATTTACTATGTTAATACACACTGAAGGTTAGGTAATCATTAAAGAGGTCTTTTACATCTCGAAAAGGCTTAAAAGTATGGTAGCAAAAGGACTTCAGGGAAAATATCATAGACTGTAAAAAAAGATGAACGACGCGTCTCTACCTCCTTCCACTATAGAAAAGTGAAGCCAAAGCATCTCAGTATAGCCGCTGCCATCTTGAGTAAATTACGTCTGCACAGTAGAGATTCGTTTGGAGCCAGAGTCTGGGCAGTACAGATTAATTTGGAGCCAGAATCTGCACAGTAGAGATTCATTTGGAGCCAGAGTCTGTGCAGTAGAGATTAGTTTGGAGCCAGAGTCTGCGCAGTAGAGATTTGTTTGGAGCCAGAGTCTGCGCAGTAGTTTACATGGAGAGGGCGGGGTTTATGACCTGTACTGCAGCCAGCCACCAGGGGTTGATGAACAAGCCCGCAGCTTCACTTTTCAGGACGTGTGAGGCACACCCGGAAAATATAAACAAATATGGCAACTTAAAAAAACTTACTTGTATAGCATTTTAACCACGCAGATTCCCACAAGGAGCAGGACCACAAGCAGAATGGTTGGCACAATTATTATGACCAGATTAACTGAAAACAAAAGAAAATTATGAGATATTAAGTAATGATGATGAAGAAAAACAAAGAAAAAACACCCTTTGCATTTATGCACATGGTCAAGCATTTTTGAACCATGAATTTCCAGAGATGAGAAAAGACAAACTTAAATTAATTTTAGTAATTTCCAAGTTATTATAGTGTGTGTATTAAATCATTTTATTCAATGGTCTGTCTGAATACTGGATTCTGATTGGCTGGCAGGTATGCATTAAAACCATCTAATGCACAGGTAGTTCCAAGTCAGTTTAATCACCGTTCCATTTGTCCAGTACATCTGTAACATAATCTGTAATAATTAATGAGTGATTAGCTTGTGTTCTTAAAATCATACCAAAATCGGCCTGAGAGGCCACTGGTTTGGTCATGTCACTGTGAATGGACTGTGTAGGCCGGGCCTCCTGTGTTACCGTAGATGATGAATTCACTGCATAGGGAGAAACAGTGGTTTAGTGAACAGTTCTAATGAGAGAAATGAGGTTGTGAAGCCTTTGCGTCTCAGACATGCACCTGGGATGGGTTTAACGTAAGGACAGCCCAGTAGCTGCAATCTCATAGCGATTATCCGGTGCCACTGTTGAGGTACGACTCGAATACTGCGTGCTACGATGTAGGGATGGAAGGTGTTGCGTGTTTGGTGGAGGCTGTCAGTATTTCCTTCAAAGATCTGAAGTAAAATACAACATTGTATAATCAAACAAATGATGTATATACAGCTAAAAAAGCTAAATCTATCTATCTCTATCATTTCCTACAATTGTCAGGGAAAAATTAAAACCAAACATATTATAATAATCAAATAAAGGGGTGGTTCCCTGGGTTTTTTTCTTGGCTTGGCTTTGTTTATGGGGTGCAGTCTAACATGTATTAATGCTTCGTTAAAAAAAAAAAAAAACTTATTATTTTTCCACATAATTTACCTTTATTCCACACCGCTCTGTCCCTTCTCTGAAAAACGGGCTGATCTTTTCCTGTTTTTATGAAGCCCCGCCCTCAGATATAGGCGATGGGCTCTGATTGGTTAGCTAGCCCAGTGTGTTGTGATTGGCTAAACCGCCTCTAGTGCGCGTCTAAACATCCCGCCCCTCACCTCAGCGCCATGTGCTCCGGTTGTATTGTAAACAACGGCATCGTTAATATCACTTATCAGTTTGAGCAAGATTGAGAAGCAGAGGATATTATTGAAGAGGATCGTGCAGAACCTGTGCAAGCAAGGCTTTTATTGGTAGGCATATGTTTTTTGTTTGTTGTTGTCTCATACTTTTATATACGCTGTTGTAAATGCTCCTGCTTATGTTAGATTTTGATATACAGTTTTATCCTGATTAAAGCTTTAATTCAGAACATGTTTAATGCTTCTTATAGCTATGTGAAAATAAGTGTATAATTGGAACGGTTCATTGTCAGAGCTGAGCTGAATGAGAGAGAGAGACAGAGAGAGAGAGAGAGAGAGAGAGATGCAGAGCATGTGCAGAGCAGGGGACGTGAGGAACAGTATTGAGAACCGCTGCTTTTGAACATTGATTTTGAAACCTGTGAATCCATTAGAATCGTTAGAAGACAGAATCGCGATTCATATATGAATAGATTTTTATGTGCACCTCTAGTTTTCTCTTCCTCTTCTCTAAAGCAGCGCAGCATGGCCTCGCCCCCTTTGCTGCCTTTTCCCGAGGGCGGGGTTTATCTGAGTTTGTGATGTCACGAACCCGGGAAGTAACTCGTTGTAGTCCCTACCAGCCGTTTTTGTAGGAATTAAACTGCCAGAATTTTAAAAGACAATATCTCTGTTTGCATTGAACTTTCAGCTTCGTAACTTTGCAGATATTGTTTATGCTCAAACAGCAACATTACACACTAACGTTAAAAAAAGTGAAATCGCAATGAACCACCCCTATAAATATATATATATATTAATTGTATATATTAATAAATAAATAAATAAATAATAATAATTTTTACTGAACATGATTATGTAGTGATTTAAAGAAAGTCTTACCATTTCATCAGAGTTATTATACTGGACAAATGTTCGCCAGCGACTCCTCTCTTTATACTCGATCTTGTAGTTTTTTACAAAATATTCAAAGCCTGCGATGGTCAAGCCTGTGGTCAGAATACCTATGAACCAAAAACATGACTCCGAATTATTTCATTAGCAAACTCCCGTTTAGCTCCATGACAACATTTAGCCTCAAATGCTCCTGAGGACCGTGATGCAAGCGCTCAGCCAGCTGAGGAATGCGACAGCATGTAGGCTAAAGACTTCACTTCAGAGTGCGGCCCGTCATCTGCATGACAGTGGAAAACCTGCAGCCGGCCTCCTTCGGTTACTAAACACATTCCTGAGGGAAACACTCAAGTGGCATGTTCCCAGCAGACACAGAAAGAGCCCAAGGCCTGTTATTACTTTCCAGCATTAACTACATCACAGGCGAGAGGACACCACTGTGATCATAGGAGCAATTCAAAGTGTGAAGCTGTGAGACTGAAGTGTGATGACTTGAAAGTTAAGAAAGGAAGTTACTCATCATCAAAGAGAAAGCCAGGAAAGCTATAGAATCAAAGCACTATTTTAAAAAAAAAAAAACGTCACTGGTGTCCCTTCTTGCGGTTGAAGATGAATATATTGAAAACTAAACAAGCAGTTAAGGTAAATGATAAAATACACAATTGTGGTTCTGACAGGATGAGCAATGCATAACCCATAATTCTCCCACCTCCTACGTGAAAAAATGACCACTGGGATGGCACTCGGACATCCGACACTGGTGAGAAGTGTAATTTATTGTCATTTCAAAGATGGCAGAGTAAAGCAATGCTCTATTGTTTGTTATGGGAGAATTATGAGTTGTCTGGATATTTCAGTATTTCCACTCCAGTATTGCCACCAAAACATTACAGATTTCATAATCCTCAATATCACTGCAAGATGAATCACTAGCTTCAACTGACAATTATTATACAGTTTGGTGTTGGTAAGATTTCTAAATGTTTTTGAAATACGTAAATACATTTCTTAAGCTCAACAACGCATTTATTTGATAAAAAATACAATAATATTGTGAAATATTACAATTTAATTGTATAATAACTGTTTTCTATTTGAATATAGTATTTAAACGTTATTTATGTTGTCACATGATCCTTCAGTAACCATTCTAATTTGCTGCTAAAGAAACATTTCTTACTGTCAATATTCTTTTGTGGATGATTCGAAAGTTCAAACAGCATTTATTTGAAATGTAATTCTTTTGTAATACAGTAAATGTCTCTATGGTCACTTTTGACAAATGTAATGTGTTCTTACTGAATGCAAGTATAGATTTCGTTCTTTCTTTCTTTCCAAAAACAAAAATCTTACTGACCCAAAACTTTTCAACAGCGCTGTACGTTACAGTGATTTTACAATGTTTAAGGGTGATCCTAATATAGTATAACACTAACACTAGTTTCTTGTGGCTCACTGCTTTCATTTACCCTACTCTCTACAGCAATATATATAAAAAACATGCATTTTGTTGACAAAAGCTTTCTCAGAAAAAAATGCAGAGTGGTGACCCCATAGATAAAGAGATGCTTTTACTCTAGATTTATTTAGCCTCACAAATTTACGCCATCAGCACAACGATAACAGAGCTTCCTCTTTGAGACGGGCCGGTTTCACTCAGGGTCATCGTGTCCAAAAGCACAGATTCCCTCTGACAGGAGACAAAGTGAGGATTCTCTCGCTCCTTGAGCTGTATGAAATTAACTCGGTTTTGCTGTCTACACACAGTTGTGCTCAAAATAAACGTGTCCGGCGTGTTCCTAAATTTAAATGTGCTTTTGTAAGAGGGTTTGTATTTGTGATGAATGGACACAGAGAGGGCCTTTCTGTGCTTTTATGCAATACCAGGAACTGTTCAAAAGATGCAGATACCAGTTAGCAGTCGGGGAGGGGTGAACGCTCATGTGCTCTGAGTGTGTAATGCTCGGCACTTAGAGCTGATCACGAGAAAGACCTTTTGTGAGAATAATTACACCCTCTGGAACCAACTGTGGGTCTTTCCGACATGTTTGCGTGTTTGTTTTGATATAATAGCATTACATTTCTACCTGAAGTATGGAAAAACTACTAAATGATGCATTGGGAAAGCCAAATCTTGAGGTGTTAAAGAGGAAACTGGCACAGTCAGGTGACCCAGAGACGAACAATCTGGATGAACAAACATGTCGATGAAATCAGGTTATGAAGGTTACAAGTATTACCGGTGATCCTCCTCTTTTCTCCGAGGTCAATCTGGAGCCATTTTGGTTGGTTATTGTTAAGGTCATCAGCAACACCTGGTTGGGTGCTATTAGGAATCCAGTCGACTTCAGACCCAACAGAGGAGATATTGTGTGACGACAAGCTTGTAGAAGTGCTCACAGGTTGAAGAACAGTCTGTTGGCTGCAATCTGTGAAAGATAGAACATTGTGGTCAGATTTCAACACATTTGAAATAGGGCTGCCACTAACGACTTTTTATTTCGATTAATCTAAACGATTAATTTTCCACAAAAAAATCAACAATTTTACTTAAGAATATTTTATTAAACCAAATGAAATCCAAATTTCTATGAAATCCTTTTTATAAAGCAAAAGTAAAGTGCAACATAGAGTGCAAGAAGCAAGTGTCCATCTCATAGTCCAAATCACTGAAATCCAAGTTCAGTATTATAGTGTAAGAATGACAACATGTCCACGTGTTCTAGTCTACTAATAATACAACTATACTAAAAAAAACACTTTTTAAAGGAGTATTTACCATAAATGTTATTTACCACAATTTATTTAATAGAAAAATTTAATTGTGCAGTATTTCTGAAATTTAAAAAATAAATAAATAAATAAATGAATTGGAGATGCTTTTGATTATTAAAATTTAATGGAACTATTAAAATGGAATCCAGAAAATCATGGAAAACAGAATTTGGTAGAGATAAAACTGTAAAACTCAATTCATTAGACAGGCTTTTATTTAATAAATTAATAGGATTAATACAATTTTATTTAACCATTAAAACGGAGTATAGAAAAATGAAAATGGAAAGAAAAATGAATTTGGAAATAAAACTGATTTTATAGGGCCCTATAATTATAATTAATTTTTTTGTGGTAATAAAAATAGATGAAAGTGAACAACAGCCTTTGAAAATGACTTAAAATATATAATAGCAATGAGGCAATAATAATTAGTTCAAATAAAGTATCAAAAGCAAGAAATCATATGGTTTTATTGAACAAAACTGTTAAAATATATCATGTATTATAAACAATAGAGCTAATGTACATTACGCATTATAACAAAGGCCTGCAGAAGGCGCCAACATCCTGATGAACTACTGTGAACGGAGCCACTGTGTGACGCGTACTTAACCTACACGCATGTAAATAATTAAAGCGCATATACTGTATTAGAACGGCATCGCATATAATTATTACATTAAATCGTAGCGTTTGTGAATTCACAATTATGCTTAATTATGATTTTAAATGGGTTTAATATATCATGCAGCCTTGGGAAACAGTCTAATAATGTGTTTTATGGATTCTTGTCCATGAAATGCACCACTTCTGGTATTTTGCCAGTTTGTCGACGCGAGCAAAACGAAGTCGAGGATTTAAAAAAATCGAATAGTCGAATAAAATCGACAAATCGCGACAGCCCTAATTTGAACTGAAACATTTACATTACAAATGTAAAAGTTTGGGGTCTAATTTTTTTCAGAGAATTTAATACTTTTATTGATCAAAAGTGACGACTCAAAAGTAAAGACTTGAAAATTGTTAAACTCTATTTCAAATAAATGCTGTCCTTTTGAACTTTTTGTTCATCAAAGAATCCAGAAAAATGATTCACACTTTCCATGATTTTCTATGAAATGATGCACAACTGTTTTCAACACTGATAAGAAATGAGCAGCAAATCAGCATATTAGAATTTCTGAAGGATCAACTGACAGTGAAGACTGGAGTAATGATGCTGAAAATTCAGCTTTGCATCACAGGAATAAATTATATTTTAATATACAAAACCAGTATTTTAAATTGTAATTAGGGATGCACCGAATGTTTGGCAACCGAAATTATTCGCGAGAAAATAGCAAAAAAAAAAGCTCTTTCAGTGTTCGGCCGAATAAGCGAAAAGACCGAATAAATTGTACCAAACAATGAAGTAATGCTAATAAATCGAAACCAGCGTAAAGTGAGAGGCGCGCACTCTTTATAATGCAGCACACATGACAGCAGTGTGGAAGTATTTAAGCTGTCCGAGAAAGAAAATTGGGATCTGTAATATTTTGTAATGTTTTAGAAGAAGTCTCTTCTGCTCAGCAAGGCTGCTTTTAATTTGACCGTAAAAAATACATGCTTGATTCAAGAAGGGGGTCTGATCGCCAAAAAATATTATTTTAGTAACTTATTAATTTTAAGCTAAATTGTGCTTTGTTGGTATAATGTCTGCTAGAATGTAAAAAAATATTTAGTGTTAAATATTTAAAAATTGTTGTTTTGTAACAGATTTTTTATTTGAAAAACAAGACAAAACAGTAAAAAGCACATTTTGGCTATTTAATTTATGCAATGGTGAAAAAAAAGAGTCAAAATACATGGAGAAAAAACCTGATTCAGGTTTCAATATTCAATATTCGGCCTTCGGCCCGGTGTTTCATTTTGTTTGGTTTCGGCTTCGGCCAAGAATTTTTATTTCGGTGCATCCCTAATTGTAATATTAATTCACAATATCAATGTATTTTTGATCAAATAAACACATGTGCGACTATGGTGACAAATTAATGAATTCCAACTTTACCAAAAAAAAGAACATCAAAAGAGAGTAATGTTAGTTCTGCTCATGTTTAGTGCTTGCTTTTAACATATAAAATACACGTTGAGCAAAAACTCAGTTATGTGTATATTGACTCAACAGGAAGCTGTGAGCTCTTAAAATACCCACCATGTGTACAGTTAAATGGAGACGTATGTGCTATGAACACACCAATATTACAATAAAAGAGGGGGGAAAGACACCCACATCCTTTAAAGAGAGAAAAACAGGGCCAATACATCCTGTTGCTTAGTCTCGATTTGGCTAACACTATCACATTCCACACATTTAGCATATGTGGGCAGAGGAAACTCAGGAAGAAGACAAGCAGAATCTCAGCAGGAGGTCAGAAAAGTTCCCCGATTGAAGTCTCTGTACACTCATAAGTACAGAGGGGTCCAAAAGTCTGCAAACTCCAGAGATGATGCTTAAGTTTTTAATGTATTTTACTTTATTTAATAACCTAGAAATACCAAGAAATCTTCAGGAAACTTTTTCCAAATTCTAAAACTGTTCATTTTCAGTTTTAAACAGGATTTTTAACATGGTCTTTGTACTTCAATGTACATGCGTTTGAGTATTTAGTTAGACTTAAAATGCCACAAAATTGCATCTTGATACCTTCAAGGTCTCGTCACATAGGCTACTGTTTGTGAGTGATATCATCTAGCTAGGGGGCTGATGAGGGTAGGATGCTCACTTGATGTGGCTCACTGGATGCTCACAGCTGTGCTTTAAACTAATTGGATTAATGGGAATCAACTGACATGGATCGACTGATCTCCACACATCTATCAACTCCTGTCATCAGAAACTCATGCAATACATCAACAATGCACACGGAATACAAATCCACTTCTGACCAGAAGAGATTAGGGTCATAACGATCTGGAAAGGTACTTCCACAAATCTATAACAACAACTGACTAAAGCTTGTGCGTATCACTAAAGCAAATAGGGAAGAGTCAATGTATCCCGGTTGTCAATAGGAACTATTCTCTTATAAATAAAAGGTTATTTTTTGGCACCAATGGCTCCATGAAGAACCTCTAACATCCATGGAACCTTTCCATTTCACAAAAAGTACTTTATAGTGAAAAAAGGTTCTTTAGATTTTAAAATGTTCTTCACACTAAGAAACCAATGGTTCCTTTAGGTCCTTTAAGAAAAGGTTCATTAGGGAGCCAAAAATAATAATTATGTGGCATTGCTGTGAAAACCTTCTTTTGGAATCTTTATTTTTAGAGTGTAGTAGGGAAGTGGATGTTCTACACCCAATGGAAATTAGGACACAGGTGCCTTTGAACTGACTAGACTTTAGAATTTTGAGTTTAGAATTTTAAAATGCTGAACCCCCACAGGAATTTTTAATCTGAATTGACTGAATTGTGTTCAACAGTCACAGAACAGAACATTTTAATTAGTCCAAACAGTTCATTTTAACTAATTCTAAAGAACTTTTTTTTTTGCGATTAAACATTTTTCAAGTTATTATTTATATATCTTTATAAGTTAGTTAAATAGTCAAAATTAGCCATATTGTTTTGCATAACCATAAAATGTAGACATAAAAATCTATTAGTTAATAATTATATTGAGTAAATACAAAAATAAATTTTACATACACACATATATACATATATATACATACATGTGAAGAGTTTGGTTCCAAAACGCGATAAATGCCATTTAAAAAAATATTTAGTTTCCACCAAAATCAGTATTGTATATGGTCGGTATTGAAAAGTCAATTTTTCATTTTACGCAAAATGCGATATCTGAGTTTTCTGTCATGTTTTCTCCCTTTCTTTCCAAACCGCGACAAACGCCAATCTCTCTTCTCTGCAGAATGCGATATATCTGCTCAACCAATCACAGTGCACCATTCCACGCACTCTAGACAGTAATGGCGGTGCTTTGAATACACCCGGCATCCTAGTTTTCCTCATCTACTTTGTACTTTGTGATCAACAAACAAACTTAGGGCTGCACGATAAATCACATATGATTGTCATGCGCATCTCGTCAGTAAAGCCGGTTCTGTGATTAATAGTAAATCTCCACCACGTGCTTTCAGATGGATACAAAGAGCCGTAGATCACAGACTATGCAATATCGTGTTCATAATCGAAGATGAGTCGCATTCGATTATGAACGCGATATTGCGTAGCTTGTGAGTGTAAGTGTCATATGTGGATTAACCATGTTTCAATATGAAAAATTACTTTCATTTTGATTCAATGGATTTATTGCATTTTGAAAAAAAAAACGTGTCATGGATTTATTGCATTTTGGGAAAAAAGAATAAATGTTTATAATAAATCTTTGAAAATCTAAATCTGGATTTGAATTTTGAATGTTATTATAACCTAAAGATGCTATGTGAAAGTTTGAAACAGAAAATAGTGGTTTCCATCTCGCCACTTTCTTGGTAAAGAAAACACATTTTTACTCAAATTAATCAAAATGGATTTATAGCATTTTGGAACCAAACTCTTCATTCATTCATTCATTTATATATATATTTTTTTTTAAAGTCATTCTCAATTTAGCAGCCTGCACAACCATGGAAGGTAAACATTTGGAGCAAGTGTTGGCACATGTACACATTTGGCAACCGCTGTGAGAGTTTGATTCATCAGCTTCTGCAGAGCTGCATGGAGCGCGTCGGCACAGGTAAATGGCAACCGGTCTCAACTCAGCCAGAGAAAAACAAACTCAGGTGATAAGATATTCCCACGCCTTCCATTCACTTTAAAAAGAGCAAACAGTGCTTCCCATATCCAAACCGGTTTTTAAAAAAAAAACCTGTTGGGCCAGCACAAGGTGATTAAACTACTTCCTTTTTTGCAAAGGTGCAAATATACCAGTCAAACAACACTGTAACACACAGCGGCAGCAGGAATAACAGCAGATGGCGAAAACTAATCATGTCAACACGGTTCAAGAAATAATAGGATTAATCCTACACCAATATGTGTGCTCAATTCACATCAGCATTGAACCATAAAACAAAAGTGCTTACCATTTGTCACAAATGTGAAGAGGGTTTCAGACAACGAGCCACTGAAAGACAAGGAAAAACAGATATCAGTGAGCACTGAGCATTTTAGACACAAAAGATCATTATTACAGTGATTAATTAAGGCCCTGTCATGTGAAAGTAACGCCTACAGGGGCCAAAAAGGAGATTCCCATTGTCAACCCGTTGTGTTACCAAATTCAGACAACCTCCCTCACTGCATCCCGCATCTCCCCCTCTGACAGGAGAACTGGGGTACAGCTGGGCCGGTGAAAAGAGCAGTGTGCTGGTAATTAGAGAGGAACAGGCTGGGAAATTGCATCTCTGTCAGGCATTACTTAAAAAACCTGTCATTATCACAGGCTTCTTGGATGTGATTACTTTTTCATTACTTTTATGGCAGTTGAGCAACCCGTTTCAGAGTTCAGGGTACAAAGTGGTTTACGACAGCGTGAATGAAACCGATATAGGATACGGCGAGTGGTGTGCCAACAACAACAAAATAATAGATAAATGTCTGAAGCCTGGGAATATAAGCAATAAACTGCTGGTGACAGAAATATAATCTAATAAAATCAACGTAAAAATGAATCAAGTACTGATATTGATTGTAGTAATTCAATTAGGTTAAAGCGGACCCTGAGGACTGTTACATCATCAACATAATCTCCTTAGACTGGAGATGATGGATTTAGTTTGACTAATCAATTGGTTTATGAAATAAATGGCTAATCCACCAGTGCAACTTCATAATTTGCAGTAATATTTTTAAGTGCTTGCTAAGACAAGCAACACTATTACTATTTCTCTATTTCTCATAATTTGGTTTAGTTAAAGGGGTGGTTGATTGCGATTTCACTTTTTTAATGTTAGTTAGTGTGTAATGTTGCTGTTTGATCATAAACAATATCTGCAAAGTTACGAAGCTGAAAGTTCAATGCAAACGGAGATATCGTCTTTTAAAATTCTGGCAGTTTAATGCCTACAAAAACGACTGGTAAGGGACTACAACGAGTTACTTCCCGGGTCCGTTACGTCAAGAACCCAGAATAAATCCCGCCTCCGGCAACACACAGCAAAGGGGGCGAGGCCATGCTGTGCTGCTTTAGAGAAGAGGAAGAGAACATGTGGTTGCCCAACTGTATTAAAGCTTTAATCAGAATAAAACCGTATATTAAAAGCTAACAGAAGCAGTAGCATTTACAAATAACAGCGTATCTAAAAGTATGAGACAGTTTATAAGACAAAAAATCTTAGGCCTACCATTAAAAGCCATGCTTGCACAGGTTCTGCACGATCCTCTTCAATAATATCAATTTGAGCTTGATTGAGAAGCAGAGGATAAGCAATATAGATGACGTCATTGTTTACAATACAACCGGAGCACATACCGCTATGTTGAGGGGCGAGACGTTTAGACGCACGCTAGAGGCAGTTTAGCCAATCACAACACACTGGGCTAGCTAACCAATCAGAGCCCATCGTGTATTTCTGAGGGAGGGGCTTCATAAAAGCAGGAAATGATCAGTGCGTTCAGAGGAGAAGGGACAGAGCGGTGTGGAATAAAGGTAAATTATGTGAAAAATAATGCGTTTTTTAACAAACGTAGCATTAACATGTTAGACAGCACCCCATAAACACAATCAAGCCTATAAAAAAAACAGTCAACCACCCCTTTAAAGAATAAATGAAATGCATCAAAAAAATTATAATTAATAAATGTTTAAATAAATAAAAAAAATTATATAACCCACATCCAGGACACCCTAGCAATCACAGAAATGCACTTAAAAACGAACAGAACACCCCAGTAACTATATAGCAATGCTCTAGCAGGCAGAAACAATATAACAACGCAATAAAATGCATTCTGAACACCTAATAACTGCATAACAATGCAGAACACACTAGACAGCACATGGCAAAGCATTAAAAACCATTCTGAACATCCAGTAACTATGTAACGATGCTCTAGCAATCACAGCAATCAGGGATCAACGTTAAGGATTTTTTCTACTGGCCCGATTGGGCCAGTGGTTCAAATTTTTACTTGCCCTGCCAACATTTTCATTGGCCCTGCCACAAAATTTTTTATAGTTTCTGTTATCATGTATTCTAATAAATAAGCTTATTTGACACCAATATTTTAGATACCAATTAAATTTTACAATTCTCTATTTCAATTTCGATACCACAGCAAAAATCACTAGCCAAAAATAAACAAATATAAAGTTTAAACATTACTAAAGACAAGTGACAGCCAGTAAATAAGAACAAATTACAAGTAATAGCACAATTAAATATAGGCCTATAGCACAAAAATAGAAATTAAATGATGCTTTAGGTTATGTTTGTAGATGTTCAGGTACAGAAATTTAAAAATCACATATAAAATAACATTTGCATATTCTTCACTCTGTGTTGCACCTTGATTTTTCATAGCCATTTGAAATTAGAGGCAACCACTGCATTTTAATCATGAATTGAAAAAAAAAGTGCAATGTTTGATTTATATTAGACTGTATTATTTAAAAATCTGAAGCAAAAACAGAATAACCTGACTTTAGCTATGTAAAATTATGCTACGTAAAACATCTATATGAAACAGAAACAGCAGGTGGGCTGAATGAGACGCAGATTCACTCTCTGACAGCAGGCGGAGCTTATGCTACAGCAACACAGCTCTTCCTTGATTAACGCTGTAAACACAGCAGCGCTGCGCGTATTAACACTCATTTAAATGCATTATACAGAGAAAAAATGAAAAGAAAACGCCATTTCTGAAAACAGTCAGTTCCGTTCCCCTCAGAAACACATTCATATAAATTTCAATGTTTGGATTTTCTTCCTATATTTCGCGCATCGTGAACAGTGATCTTGTTCTGCCTGCTACGGTATTTTCTCCTCTTTGTGTCCGTCTTCAGAATCTCTGACCTCTGTTAACGGCCGTTTACAGACTAAGTATAATAGTAACGTAGTATTTCCACAAAAATAGCCATTGGGAAAATGATTGCAGTGCAGTTTGTTTGCAAGCACGGAACAGAAGATAGTCTGAAATAAAACAAATGTCCGGTAGATCGGTGCATCTGTACTCCAGTGTATAAATTCAATATAGATTAATCATTGTTAAAACTACAAAGTTACTTGCCAGGACGGGTATTTTGACATACTTTTGTATGTATTTGCCCATTCAGAGACGCGGCTGTCTGTGTGTGCGCTGTTCACACAGAACACAGTGTGAGTACTGAAAGGAGTTGTCTTTTGCGCACCAAATGCTTTTTAATCACTTGAATTTTAATAACACGTGCAAATGATAAAATGTCGTGAGAAATCTATCTCCTTATTGTCGAGCCCAGGCAATGCACTGAAATACATTCAGAACACCCGGTAACTTGCTAAACTGGAACCCCTGAACTAGTGCTGTTGGAGGCGTAGTGGAGAAATGTAGTGTCTCACAACACATATGTGAACAACAACAGGTTGCTAACAAACTTTGAAACCAGAAAAAAAAAAGCGGCAGTGGACGAAAAATAAAACCACACACTACAAACTGAGAACTGGCTGAGAGCCGAACCATTTCAGTGAAAGAAGGGTACCAGTAACTGCATAGCAATGCCCTAGTGGAACACCCAAAAAAAAGCACATTGCATCGCATCAAAAACCAATCAGTAGACACCAGTAATACTAGTATAGCAACTCCCTAGCAACAGCAAAGCAACACAATAAAATCTATTCAGAACGGCCAGTAACCTATTATAAAGACTGCTGTGATTAGCACAAAAGAAACTAAGCGCTGTGGCCTAGTTCATGCACTTCATTCCTGTTTTCTCCATCTACTATTCCTATCAATAACTGGTCAAAAAAAGAGCATAAATTATCTTAATCTGCATTTGTTCTGTTAAGCTTCACCAGGTATTAAATGGATCAAAGTATCTCTGGCTCTAGAGAGCTGCCTATTGTCCTCCTAATAAATCACTACTCAATGGACACTTCAAGCACTCCTCAGAGACTATAACGAGAAGCAATCCCGATTTCTTTCTCAACCTGCCCCCCAATTCCCTGAAGACAAATCTGTGAAACCGCAACAGTCCAGACAGAGTGTCCCTGACATTAGGTAGTACCTGAACCATTCATCATGCAAAAGAAGGCAGGAATCACCACTTAATAACTGCTGTAGTCCTGGAGAACCTACCAAGGTCACATCCAGCCACAGCCGTTAGATGAAGTGCCGGAATAAGACATGTTGCAACTTGTCAGGAGAACTTGTAAGACAGACTATTTCAATTTTTCTAACCGGAACCTAACTGTTTTTCCTGTCAGATTTACAGTAAACACACGCTGACAGAAATCCACTTTAGATGGAAGTTGATGAGGCAAAAAGTTACATACTTGCTACATAGACTTAAACTGTAAACATCAACATTTTATTCCTTTTTATGTACTGGGAAAGCCCACATGCTGATGTCTGACTCACCTAAGAATATAAAAGCATTCTGTAGCATAGATAAAATCTGAGGCTTCAAGCTTCTGTCATAGAGAAAGACCACAGAAACCACTGCAGTAACTCACTCTTTTGACTGGATGTCGTTGGCTCTGACCGCAGGGTAATGACTGAGCCCTCGGCGCTCCTCCACTGTGATTGGTCCTCCAAACTGGTCCATGATGACCCCAGCATGCACCGCTGCTTTACACAAAACTGATGTCTGAAATAGAAAGCACAGACAGCACTCAGACACAATAATGAAGGACCAGACAGAGAAAGGACAGAGATTGGCCTATAAGACATAACAAGTGTTTCTTTACTCATACACAACCATTGGTGTTTTTTTTATCAAAATTTCCTTTAAAATGAATCTAAATTTTGTTGATTTTTAAACCAACATGGCAATTAAATTAAGTTGACAAAAAACAATATTAGAACAATACTGATACTTCTTCATATTACAGCAATTAACAGAGAAATGGATGATATTAAAAATGTGATATTAATATGTTGTCTAAATAAATAAAAAAACTAAATACTCATTAGAATAAAAAGTAATTAGAACATTATACTGTACAGTATAAAAAAATCTGTAAAAGAAATCCCTAAAAGAAACCTAATAAAAATAAATATAAAATTTTTGCCAAAAATTGCATGTTGTAAGCACTGTCTCAGCTACCATAAAACACCCATATGCATACTCCTAGCACAGGCATTCAATTCAGTTTGCTCTGGTATTTCATAATTACTAAGACAGACCTCCATTGAACAAAGCATGCATGTTTTAGTAACAACATGGATTAAAATTTAAAATAAAAATTTCTGACTGAGGAGGCATTACTACTGCAATTCCATTCTGAGGCAACAATTACAGTAATTGTGGCAGCTAGTAGAAATGCTTAGCATTCTTTAGCTACCACTGCTAATGCTAGTACTTTGTCACAGAAAATGCCTTAGCATGAATAACCTTTTTAAGGCCCTTTTACTTAACAGGCCAGGTAACAGCCATAATGGGATTTGAACACTGTGATCTTCTGATTTAAATCACATTATGATAATTTGAATTGTCAATTATATCTACAATATGTCATTTTTAACTCATCTGCAACATGGCAAAATCTTTCTTCCTTTTTTTCAGAAAACTGATTGTTATTTAAATTAATGATCAAGTCATCGGTGCATAGTTCACCGTCTCATAATAAACATTAACCACACAGTTTTTACAACTTTTGAATACTTAAAAGGCCTTTTTACTTTGAATCTTAAAGCTGAAGATAAAATAACATTAAAAAAAAACTTTCCGGAAGCAAGCTCACTAACAAAGTTTGAGCAAAATGACTGACTATGGCAGAAAGACCGAATAAAAGTGTGCACGGTCTTTGGGGTGGTCTGGTGTTTTACATTAAACATTACATCCCATTAGCCACTTGCAAATCATTACTGTGATGAGGTAACAGAAGACGCATTGTGTGTTATCAGCAGAAACAGCTGCTCTGCATTCAGACAGAGATGCTTCATTAACCTGAACATGTCTCCTCCAGTCAGGGCCATAAATACAGCCCTATCGAACAACTGCAGTCTCTACCTTTGATTTATGATGCATAAAAGTTGTGCTGGCCCATGCAAAACAGTACTGCAATGCTACAGTGCTCTGGATGTTTTTAGTGTGGTGCTATGTGGTTGCTAGAGTGTACTGGATTCTTACTAAATTACATAAAAGAAAAACATTCTGACATGGCATATACATGTTATGAAAAGCCCTACCCTCTGCTAATTCGCTATCGTTAAAATGAATGATTAATTAATATATATATATATATATATATATATATATATAATATAACCACACAAAACATGGTTAGTTTAATAAATGTAAATTATTTAGCATAATTACTCATAGCTGGCAATTTTACATTTATTGCCAATTTTGTTTAATGTCATTTTTGACCAGATTCACGTGTCTTTGCTGAATAAAGGTATTAATTTCTTTAAAAAAAGCAAATAAAAAAATTAATAATGATAGCAAAACTAGTAGTAAGCATGTACTGTGGACTATGGGAATTCAGTTTCATTTATATGCATAAAGAGGAGGGTGGTGCTATACAGTGGGGCAAAAAAGTATTTAGTCAGCCACCAATTGTGAGTGTACTGATGAATCTAGAACTGAGAATAAGGTGGCAAGATAATGAATAAATGTGTGTGTGTCTATGTGTGTTGGAGTGACTACTGAATGGCTTTGGAGGGCAGATCCACACCCTCACTGCGGTGGCATTATCTGTCTGTGATCCCAGAGTCCACTGCTCCACCCCATCTACACAAAAGCCAATGTGAAGTAATCAATCGCTCTAGCTGTTTCTAAAGCCCTCCACACTCGCATATCAAAGCAGACAGCAGCAGGGTGAAAATGCGCCCCCTTGTCTTCCATTGTGGGTTAAGACCCTGTTGTGTGAGTGTTGAGCCTGGAGCCGTGTGTCTGTTGTCTTTCTTGAAAACCTGTGATCCATGATGGGGGTTAGGACAATTAATTACTACAAACTATGACTATAAATACAATATGTATTTTTCAGATCATAACTACTTTATATTAGCGCTGTCAAATGATTAATCGTGATTAATCGCATCCAAAATAAAAGTTTTTGTTTACATAATATATTTATGTATACTGTGTATATTTTGTTATGCATCATTATTAATCGTTTGAATCATTATATTTAAATTATTTGTCCTTATTTTTTACATGATTTTTGGTGTCCAAAACTGTGAGACCAAATTTAAAACTTTTTTTTAAAAGTACAAAAGAAAACAACAGTCAGAATTTCTTACTTGAAGCACAAAATGCTCTTTGGAATTTTGTTCTCAAATCCTGCTGATAATATAACAACTTGTAAAAAAATAAAACCTACATTAAATTATAAAGCTGCAAAACAGAAACATTTTCACTCATGAACTCATGGAAATAGACATTATCTTTGCTACAGTTTTCATTCTCACGGTGATCAGTAAAGTTTACTCTACTTTTGGTTTTTAAGAGGTTAAGCTACGCTCATGCAACAAACATCTGATTCAAATGAAAAGAACCTTTCAGTTACCCTCACAAAATCAATGCCGTGACACACATAAAGCTCAGCCAGCTTAGCTTTCACAAACAGGAAGAGATTTTACCACAATGCTAAGCCTTCAGAAAGGCCCTTAACTTCTTGAGTTATAACTTAAAGCCCAAGCACATGATTCTCTCCACATCAAACTATCCATTGCTGCTCGGCCAATCCCTCGTGTAGCCCAAAGCTCTGACCCCGATTCACTGGAGAGGTATGCACAATTACATAAACTCCTTTCATTCAGAGTTCACTGCCCACTAAGTGACCAGGGAGAACAATGGAGGCAGCACAAATGATCTGTCACTGCGTATCCTCAGGGCGTCCACATACACACACACACAAGCCCTGTCACAACAAATGGCTGTCAGACAATGGGATGAGCCATTAGTGCATTCCACCCCTGACCGCTGGCCCGCTTAACATTCCCTGTGAAGGCCCTAGAGGCCTGAGCACCTGTGGGAAAATCTGCTTAGAGAAGCTGCTTTTCCTGGCCGAGCCACTGCATCTGAAACCTGTTCGGGAAGCTCCCCGCTGAGCATCGGCTTGGCTGCACGTCGGCCTTGTAAACAAACCCGCAGCTTGCCTAACGTCCTCCCGCAGATGCGGAATAAGCCGCGGCATGCCAGCCACACCTGAGGAAAACAATGAGACGCAACTCACATGTCTGTAGCCCAGGGAAATGTCCCCAGACACGTCTCCCGTCACCGCTGCACATCCGACTGGACAGTACTTCCTACACGGGTCGAGAACAAAGAGAAATATCTGCTTACAGCACATCAGTTAATTATAGCCGACGGCTCTGAAGAGATAAAGCCGAGTGAGAAGCTAAAATTATAAGCATTGATGGCATGAGATATAGTCTGGAAAACTGTGACTAGAGTTACTTTTTTATTATGTAATGTCTTGTGGCTTGGATATATTTAAATTGAACAGCTGTAGAGAGGTCTTGGCAATATATACTGAATATTCTTGATATATGCACTATATTTATGTATATTCGAGCTATTGTGATGATTTAAATGCAATTTTACTTTTATTTATCTAAAGAGTGTTTCAAATGACTGGTTTCACATTCCTCCCTTGCTTCAAACGTCATTCCATTTATAACTGAAAATTACGCCTGAATTTTTCTTATTTTTATTTGTAAAGACTTTTTACTGAATTGTATTTGTGCATTTGTGTAAGCAAGCAAGCAAATAAATACGTACATTTATATAAATATATATATAAAAACACTGTATAATAATAATAATAACAGTAATAATAATTAATGTTCATTATTTTTTAATCAAGGCTATTTGTATAATATTATTATTATTATAAAAAACAAATCTAACATAATTGTATTTTAATCTGATCTATAATCATAAAAAGTGTTATTATTATTATTAACAATAATAATAATAATAATAATAAATCAGGCTAAAAATTAGGCGTCCCATTTTGGTGTCTGCATGAAATTAAATTAAAAAAATTGATTTTATATACATAGAAAGCATATTAAATGCAATACAGTGTATACTTTAATGTTTAAATTAAAGTACTCATAAAAAACGTTTTTTTATAAGACTGAAAAATGCTTAATTGGTAAGCTTGTGAGTTTAACTTTTTCCAGGCTTCTATATGCTGAAGACATACTCTCACCTGTACTTTGCTGCTGGGAAATGACTGCCTCTGTCCAAGCATGTCAGCAGCTCTGAGGAGGAAAGCAGAGGAGGCCACACAATGAGGGTAAAAATGGAGCAGATGAGAAGTGTCTCCACAAAGGAAACAGGTCCCCGACTCGACAACAACAACAAGAACAACAGGACATGAGCATCACAACAGGATGACGGACCCACTTCCTGCACTTCCATGTATAGGATGGAAACATATACATACTTAGACATAAACCTCACTCACGCTCACATGACAGTCACAGACAATGACCACAGACTATCAAGCACTAAAAAAAGAAAAGTTCTATATGAGTTCTATACCCTCATGAACTACATGAGGGTAAGTAAATTAAGACAATTCTAATTTTTGGACCAACTATCCTTTTAACATTGCTTTGCTTTGTTTAAACAAGTCGTGTAAAAAACCCTAAAGGATCTGTAAGCATCCAGATGAGGGAAGGGGGCAAGACACAGCATGGGGCCACTGCACAGAGGTTAACATGAGGGTCAGGAAGACAGTGGGTTCCTAAGAGCTGAAGCTACACATGAACAATGTTGCGTTAAGATGATACGCACTATTCATTTTAAAGCAAGGATACCTTTGTGGTTTTCAGTGGAGTATGAAAGCAGAAATCCTCTTCCAGAGATGTGCTGGCTGCTGCGAAAGCGGACGGTCAGTTCACTGGAGTCTGTGTGAATCTGTGTAGGCTTGGGCATCAGACCACCACAGTACTCCCAGTAAACTAGATGAAATGCAAGTACATTTATTAAACTTCATGAAAATGTAACCCTAGATAAGGAATTAGATTCACATTGAAGTATTAATAAAATCAACATCCAACAAAACTGGGTTCAACATTAACACCTGCCAAGTGCACAATGAAAGTTAAAAAAGTATAATATCAATAATAATAATAAATATAAATTAAAAAAAATATACAGTTACTTGTCAAGTGATGCCTTTACAAATTGTATCTAAAATATATAAACTCCTAAACGTTACATAGATAAGAATATACAAAAATAAAATTATATGTATGCATTGATGGCTGGTAAAATATTTTGGAAAATTAAGAACATTTTTAAATAAAATCAACCCGACAGTACAGATCTTAAAAGGTTACTCCACCCCAAAATGAAAATGTTGTCATTAATTACTCACCCTCATGTCGTTCCAAACCCGTAAAACCTCCGTTCATCTTCAGAACACAAATGAAGATATTTTTGATGCATTCTGAGAGCTCTCTGACCCTGCATAGACAGTAACACGATCAACGACCAGAAATGTAGCAAGGAGATCGGTGAAATAATCCATGTGAAATCAGGGGGTCACAACTGTAATTTTTCGAAGCTACGAGAATACTTTTTGTAAGCAAAGAAAACAAAAATAACGACTTTATTCAACAATTCGTCTCCTCCGCGTCACCCTGTAGTGCCATTTTGGAGAATATCCACTACACTACTAAACAGCGTATGCTGTTCTGTGTCAGCCGCACCAAACGGATACGTTTTCTACGTTTATTTACGCTTTGATTTGAATGAAAACAACGTATCCGCGTGGTGCAGCTGACACAGAACAGCATACGTAGTTTGCGTTCAGTGGATATTCTCCAAAATGGCGCTAGGGTGACACGGAGGAGACAAATTGTTGAATACAGTCGTTATTTTTGTTTTCTTTGCGTACAAAAAGTATTCTCGTAGCTTCGTAAAATTACGGTTGAACCCCTGATGTCACATGGATTATTTTATCGATCTCCTTGCTACGTTTCTGGACGTTGATTGTGTTACTTACATTGCTGTCTATGGGAGGGTCAGAGAGCTCTCAGAATGCATCAAAAATATCTTAATTTGTGTTCTGAAGATGAACGGAGGTCTTACGGGTTTGGAACGACATGAGGGTGAGTAATTAATGACAACATTTTCATTTTGGGGTGGAGTAACCCTTTAAACTAAAAAGTTCTCTAATCTGCCAAAAATGTTGTAGAAGTCATTTATGAAACCAAAAAGGCAGAAATAGTGTGATTCTGGAAAGTTTATGACATGTCTGCTAACTGAAGGATAACACCCCGAACACTGATGAGATTCTGATAAGCTCTGATGATTATCAGCACACTTTAATCTATAAAACATTATGCCTGAATGTAGTGCTGGGCGGTATACTGGTTCATACCGTGTTTATTTTTGTTATGATATGAATTTTTTAAATACCACAATACTGTATGTCACTTAAACAACGTTCGGAACGCGACACTGTTTGAAAGGGGTCCGTTTTCACTGTTGCACTGTGGTGAGGGCACAGCTGTATGTGTTACTAAGCGTGAAAGTTCCGAAACTGAAGCTGTAGAACTTCTGTGATGACAGAAGAACTCATCCACAATATCCACATTGACCGTCACAAATATCCACCGCCCCTGCCATCAGCTCCAGCATCTCACACACACGAGTGCGACTTTAGCACTAGATTTAGCAACTTTCAGACCCTTTTAGCGGATTTTTTTCCATAGAATATTCATACTGACAAACCTAGCGACTTTTTTGGATAAACCTTAGCTATGGTTCAGTTGGAAGATTTCGCCCGAGTGAAGAGCTGCAATATTCTTTTCCTTTCCATCCATCATTCAAAAAGCAGTAGGTGAGTACATTCATCACACAGAGGTTCAGGTGTAACCTGCAGTTCTGTTGGGATTTTGGAAAGACCGGGGATGCTCTATATGAATTTCTCAAACCTACCAAGGTCTGCCAATGACCAAAAGGAAGCATAATGCTTAAAAGTAAAGAACTTAAACATTTTTGAAACTTTAAAGGAACTTGGAATGTTGGATTGGATCAAACAAAATGAGGAAATGGAATGAACACAAGAACTGCCAATAATATATATTTTTTACTTTTTTTCAATTAAAGCTAATGTGACGCTTATATAATCAACAATGAAATTTTAGCTGCTGCAGTATCCATTAACACACATTAACTGGATCAAAATAGTGCACAGATTTGTACAACATACCATGTTTGACTGGAATGGAATGAACACAAGAACTGCCAATAATATATATATTTTTCCTTTTTTGAATTAAAGCTGCCAGAATTACATTCTGGCCAAATGTGACACTTATATAATCAACAATGAACTTTTATCTGCTGCGGTATCCATTAACACACATTAACTGGATCAAAATAGTGCACAGATTTGTACAACATACCATGTTTGGCCACGTATCCACAAGTCAACGCATTTTAAGGGAGCAACCATTTAAACACTTACCTAATCTTATTCAGGAAAATCTTTCATTAAAATTTCTGACATTAAAAGTCTTGTTACCTTTATAATTGAAATGCATTTACACTCAGAATACTACTTAATCTGTGCACTATTCCAATTTTTAAAATCCCAATATAGTGCAAAAACAGCAAGCTCATTCAAAAAAAGAAAAATATCAGAAATGGTTGATAACAAGTGACAATATCTTTTAGGAAACAGGAAGACTTGGCAACATTTCACCATAAACTCTGAAATATCCTCTGACACACTGATTTCTGTGGTTTCCTCCTGCTTTACAGTAAACTTATCAATGTGTGACTGGTGCCGACTCATGACAGTGTTCTGGTTTACAGCGCTTTTTTCAGGTTCACTCACAGTAATGTGATCTAGAGGAGTTTAAACTGACTAAAGAGTATATGATCAACTATATCATAATATGATTGCACAAGTACAACCAGACTCAAATTAGAATTCTAAATACAGCAGTGTTTCCTACAGCATTTTGTTTCAGCCCCATACAGTAACATTGGCTCAACCAATGGTTTCAGTTTGTGGGGCTTTATCTGTTTTTTTACAACCAAAGGAGGTATGGGAAACCTGTTTGAAAATAATCATTACGTTTGGTGCCACACTTCACTTTTAAATTCAAATGCAGCTGTCAGAATGTCATTTAGTCTAATAGTCAGCTAGAATCTGTTGAGAGATGCATCAAGAAAACCACTCAGACAAAAACAACTTAATCCACCACACTTTCCATTAATCAAACGAGAAAGCCCTGATGACAAAAGATGAAGATCTCAAAAGACAAGAAGCTGTACCATCATTCACCACTGAAAACATCAGATTTTCATATTGTTTGACCCAGAAAGAGAATTTAGTAACCACTAGGGAATCGCTAGATAATGGCTGAGAAAACAACATGTTATGTAAGCACCATGTAAAGCATGATATAAAACAGCTCACCATTTTCTGCCCCATACGATCCTTTCAGAACCTTCAAATAGTCAGACTCGCAGTCCTTCTTCTCCATGTTCAGGTCTCCAAACTTAAGGACAATAGTGTGGCCAATTGGTACGTGGATCCGCCATTCACACCAGGAGTTGTTGGGGTAAGTTCCTGGGTAGTTCTTGGAGGACAAGACACCACTCTCTTGACCAAGGACATAATGACCACAGCCATCATCTGTAAAAGAAATATGAGAATTTGTTGTCATAAAGAATGCTCAAATCAGACCCAGGAAGAACAAGAACAAACACTCTCAATATTTAGTACTTTAAAAATGGAAAATGTACAGCTTTTATTCTAAAATTAGAGATGATAATTGAATGTGCTTAAATGTAGTAAATGCTTAAATTAGTTTTATTAATGCAAGAACGCATTAAATTGATCAAAAGTGATATTAAAGACATTTATAAGATTACAGAATATTTTTTATTTCAAATGTTGTTTTTTTACTTTCTACTCATCAGATCCTGAAAATTAAGAATCATGCTTTCCACAAAATAAAATAAAATAAAAGTAAGAAGCACAACAGTTTTCGACATTGATAATAATAAGAAATGTTTCTTGAGCACCAAATCAGCATAATAGAATGATTTTTGAAGGATCATTTGACACTGAAGAAGTTATGAAGCTGAAAATTCAGCATTGCATCACAGGACTAAATCACATTTTAAAATATATAAAAATGTGTTATTTTACATTGTAATACTGTAACAATAATACTGTATTTCTGATCAAATGCAGGCTTGGTGAGCATAAAAGGCTTTTGAAAGTCATGTTCTTTAGGGATGCACCGAATGTTCGGCAACCGAAGAATAAGCGAAAAGACTGAATAAATTGTACTGAACAATGATATGACGCGATCAAATAGCAACCAGTGCAGAGTGAGAGGCACGTACTCTTTATCAGTGTTGGGGGTAACGCATTACAAGTAACGCGAGTTATGTAATCAGATTACTTTTTTCAAGTAACTAGTAAAGCATTACTTTTTAATTTACAAGATAATATCTGAGTTACTTTTTCAAATAAGTAATGCAAGTTACTTTGTTTTCCCATTGATTCACTGGCAGCCCACCTGTCCTTCAGCCTGGTACTTATTAATATCACTTTTGGGGTAAAAGGGTCTTTACAGTTACAAAAACATTTGACACTGAAGAAGTTATGAAGCTGAAAATTCAGCTTTGCATCACAGGACTAAATCACATTTTAAAATATATAAAAATTTGTTATTTTACATTGTAATACTGTAACAATAATACTGTATTTCTGATCAAATGCAGGCTTGGTGAGCATAAAAGGCTTTTGAAAGTCATGTTCTTTAGGGATGCACCGAATGTTCAGCAACCGAAGTTATTCGGCCGAAAAAAGCAAAAAATGCTCTTTCGGTGTTTGGCCGAATAAGTGAAAAGACTGAATAAATTGTACTGAACAATGATATGACGCGATCAAATAGCAACCAGCGAAGAGTGAGAGGCGTGCACTCTTTATAATGCAGCATACATGTCAGCAGTGTGGAAGCATTTAAACTGTCAGAGAAAGACGCAAAAATCATTACAAGCACCGACAGCGAGAGACTGTTTAGTACTGCATCGCATATCTTCATTGAGAAGAGGAAGGGGTGATTGTTGCTGGTTTACTGTATGATGATCGAAATCGCGAAATGGCCTTAAACAATTAGTAAATAAATTGCAGAACGTTATGTTTTCTAATACACGCGCGCATTGCATGTATTCTGACAGCGCTGCACGAACTCGCGGCGGATCTGCTTGTTAACATGTCACGTCACATCACATTAACCAGGGTTCAAAGTCCAAATCGCGAGGAAAATCTGCGCTGAACCAGTGTTACTCGTCAGTTGCTCAGTCACATTTTTATGAATTTTTACAAGGCATGTGACAATGCGATACGTACTACGTAGTCGTAATGGGACTCATTTATAAATCTGCTGTCAACAAAAAGAAGCACTGAGGTCTTCCTGTGCGTTTCAGCCAAAATAAAAGTTGAGAAAAAGCAAGAACTCCAACATTCATAAATGTTAGTATTGTAATTTTACTGTTGTTCTGTAATATAAAATAAAAAGTAAGACAATAATAATGATAATAATTACAACAGCTCTGTTAATACATTCATTATAACATTCACACATAGTGTTCAAATTAGGCTCTGTAATATTTTTTAATGTTTTAAAAGAAGTCTCTTCTCAGCAAGGCTGCTTTTAATTTTACAGTAAAAAAGACATGCCTGATTCAAGAAGGTGGTCTGATGCTTATTAATTTTAAAATTTAAATTTATTAATTTTAAGTTAAATTGTGTTTTGTTTGTATAATGTCTGCTAGAATGTTAAAAATGTTCAGTGTTAAATATTTTTAAATTGTTGTTTTGTAATTGATTTTTTTCTTTGAAAAGCAAGACAAATCAGTAAAAAGCACATTTTGGCTATTTAATTTATGCAATGGTGAAAAAATTGGCAAAATACATGGGGGGAAAAAACTCGAAAAATCATGTTCGGTATTCGGCCCAGTGCTAAAATCCACAAAATTCTGGCCAAAATCAGGCTGTGCCAATAGATCTTCACCCAATAAATAAGCAAAATCTAAGGTATTTACAAGTGGTCAGATTAAACAATCAAGTAGGCCTATTTAACGCACCCACTATTTTTGCAATTCAGTTTGGTGTCACTAATGGCGAAGAAATCAATTGAATTTAAGCTTTTAAAGCTTATTTCTTAGAAGACAATATTAATCCAAGCCCCAGACTCATTAAACTCTTTAATATATCCAAACAGCAATCAAATCTATTACGTAACAACAAGCAAGACTCTAAATGCGCAAGAATGCTTGATACTGTTGCATCAAAAGATTAGATGAACCCAACAAGCCAATACATGCCAACCTAATGTAAACCAAATAATATTATATCAGCTAGCAAAAAGTTTCATTAACGCAGTGTTTCAACACGCACATGCCCCTAAGACAAATCAAAACACCAGAAGAAGCCTCTACTTAGATCCAAGTATAACTTTTGTAATTAAAAGCAGAAGACAATACAGCACCATTATTAGAGAGGAAATGAGATGTTCCTCACATATGCTCACTAATCAGTGACAAAGTTGGTGTTAGAAACCGTCAGCTGCCGGACACAAGTCATATGCATGATTCCAGGGTGAAGAGCAAGAATCAGCATTTGTGCAAGTATTGTCAAGACTATTACTGTTCACTGATATGTTATGGCTCCGTTATGCCACTGTCTCCCACGGTAAAGGCACTCACACCTGTGATGGCACCACTAACTTCTTTTTTCCTTCTAGACAGCTGAGCATCCAGCAGCCACACAGGAACTTGGTGCTGATGTATGCGCATTACAGACTCTGAGACCCCAAAGTTTCGTGACATTGGCGGCATTCTTAAATGACATGAGGAATGAAATGGGACCGATGCTATAAATACCTCCAGTGTGTTTCTAAGGGAACATTCGCCCGCAATAACTAAAAATGCTTTCTTTGACCTTAGCTAGAATTACGTCAGTGCTAAATACTAGCAGACACACAGTGGCCTTTGTGGTGGCGTCTGAACTCCATCCAGATGTAGGGTTGAGTCGGTGCAACAACAACAAAAAAAACTAACGGGTGGAAACCTTAGGGCAGGTGGTGTAGGAATGACATCACATGTTAATCACAGCCATTCAAACAAACTAAAAGCTATGACTACTTAAAGCAAGACACCTCAAGTAAATAGGGTCAAAAAATGTCATTCACCCGTTGACTGATTACATTAAGATTTGCAAACATTTTTTGTATTATACAAGCTCTCTGAAATATTGTTTAAATATGAAAATGAGACTAATAATTTAATATGCACTAATTTTCACACATTTCCAGAAATCTGAACATTGGATAAAGCCTGGTTTAAAATTCTTGTTTCATTTTGATGACATATTAAAGGTTTTTACAGAGGGGATTTTGAATCGCTCTCCATAAATAAACATTTCCATTATCACTCCATAAATCAGAAAACACTGTCAACAGCCAGGAGAGGGAAAAAAAAGAAAAGAAAAGAAATGTTCACCACATTTTTAGGAATAAATTGTTGTATAAAATCAGGCAAATTATATATGAACAAACCTCTCTGTAAAAACCTTCAGAATATAAAGTTCGTTCAAATTTCTGCGTTTCAGTGCATATGGGAAAAAGTCTTTCTAAAAAAAAATCTGGAATTTATAGATACGTTTTGTAATATACAGAAGCAAATATATAAACATTTAGAAGGGATTTCGGATGGTTTTTTTAAGTAGTCTGAAACAACACGTTATGAAAAGCCAAATAGTTTAAAATCACAAAATTGACCAATGCATGGAGAAAAAAAACATTTTTGCCTTTAGTGTCTTGCCTTGAAGAATATTCTAGGTTATTAATTGAAAATGGAAGTAGTCAATAATAACATTGTTTCAAAATAACCAGACTCTTGCACTCTTCCCAACAGAGAAGAACATGACAGAGCTTCAAAACCAGCTTTTTTAGCATGTCGAGGAACACCTGGCCATCGTCTGCCCCAGGGTGGAACACAAATATTCACATCAGTGAGAGTTCTGCATGTACAGACAATCCGAGTGTCTCCTAACATGCACCAAATATGGGTTCACACTAGTTGAGGATATTCAACTTCCAGAAGGGGGGTTTCACAGTCAATTATGCCATAGCATAGACTAACCACTTTTGGCACTCCAAAGAAACTTTCAATCAGTTCTTAAAAGAACCATTTTTTTTCTTGTGTGAAGAACATGTTCTAAACCTAAAAAACCTTATTTCACTATAAAGAACGTCTTGTGCAATGGAAAGCTTCCATGGACGTTAAAGTTTCTTAATGGAACCACTGACTACATCAAAGGTAGTGATGTAGTATTGAAGCATTGCATCCTTGATTGAAACACTTAAATGAAAAGTTCACCCAAAAATAAAGACTCTGACATGATTTACTCATTCATACATTGTTTCAAACCCACTTGACTTCATTTCTTCCATGGAAAACCAAAAGAGAATTGCACTTGCTGCTCTTTTCCATGCAATCAGTCCTTGTGGAAGTTTTCAAGCTTCAAACTAAATTCAATAGGTAACACAAAAATGGACTGAATTAGTGAGTGATTCAGCATTCCAGTAGCTTTAAACAGTAGATCAATGGGTTTGATTCCCATAAAACATGTACCTTTAAAGGGGTAATTCACTAAAAAATGAAACTTCCCTCACGTCATTTACTCACACTCATGTCATTTCAAACCCTTAAGACTTTCTTTAATCTTAAAAACACACACTCAAAGTAGGGGTGTGCGATATATATCGTCTGCGATAATATCGTAATTGTTGTTTTAACGATGTGCGATTTGACATTATAACACTGTCAACAGCCAGGAGAGGGAAAAAAAAGAAAAGAAAAGAAATGTTCACCACATTTTTAGGAATAAATTGTTGTATAAAATCAGGCAAATTATATATGAACAAACCTCTCTGTAAAAACCTTCAGAATATAAAGTTCGTTCAAATTTCTGCGTTTCAGTGCATATGGGAAAAAGTCTTTCTAAAAAAAAATCTGGAATTTATAGATACGTTTTGTAATATACAGAAGCAAATATATAAACATTTAGAAGGGATTTCGGATGGTTTTTTTAAGTAGTCTGAAACAACACGTTATGAAAAGCCAAATAGTTTAAAATCACAAAATTGACCAATGCATGGAGAAAAAAAACATTTTTGCCTTTAGTGTCTTGCCTTGAAGAATATTCTAGGTTATTAATTGAAAATGGAAGTAGTCAATAATAACATTGTTTCAAAATAACCAGACTCTTGCACTCTTCCCAACAGAGAAGAACATGACAGAGCTTCAAAACCAGCTTTTTTTAGCATGTCGAGGAACACCTGGCCATCGTCTGCCCCAGGGTGGAACACAAATATTCACATCAGTGAGAGTTCTGCATGTACAGACAATCCGAGTGTCTCCTAACATGCACCAAATATGGGTTCACACTAGTTGAGGATATTCAACTTCCAGAAGGGGGGTTTCACAGTCAATTATGCCATAGCATAGACTAACCACTTTTGGCACTCCAAAGAAACTTTCAATCAGTTCTTAAAAGAACCATTTTTTTTCTTGTGTGAAGAACATGTTCTAAACCTAAAAAACCTTATTTCACTATAAAGAACGTCTTGTGCAATGGAAAGCTTCCATGGACGTTAAAGTTTCTTAATGGAACCACTGACTACATCAAAGGTAGTGATGTAGTATTGAAGCATTGCATCCTTGATTGAAACACTTAAATGAAAAGTTCACCCAAAAATAAAGACTCTGACATGATTTACTCATTCATACATTGTTTCAAACCCACTTGACTTCATTTCTTCCATGGAAAACCAAAAGAGAATTGCACTTGCTGCTCTTTTCCATGCAATCAGTCCTTGTGGAAGTTTTCAAGCTTCAAACTAAATTCAATAGGTAACACAAAAATGGACTGAATTAGTGAGTGATTCAGCATTCCAGTAGCTTTAAACAGTAGATCAATGGGTTTGATTCCCATAAAACATGTACCTTTAAAGGGGTAATTCACTAAAAAATGAAACTTCCCTCACGTCATTTACTCACACTCATGTCATTTCAAACCCTTAAGACTTTCTTTAATCTTAAAAACACACACTCAAAGTAGGGGTGTGCGATATATATCGTCTGCGATAATATCGTAATTGTTGTTTTAACGATGTGCGATTTGACATTATCGAGTATTTTGCAAAAACCATTCAAAACATCCCTACAGAGCGCACGCATACATTACGTGAAGTCTAGACTAGGGCGTGTGCGCATTTAGTGTGTTTTCTTTCACTGCATGATTCAGTCTATTAAAATGCATTTAGAATGATCACAAATTCAAGACATGATGGCAGAAAATTTATGTATTTATACCACTTCATATAGTTATTCAATTTCACACGAAGAGTGCCGTTTTTCTCCAAAAATTACCATGATTACAAATGTGACATTGAATTCAATAAACAATAAGTTAATTAAGAAGAGACTTAAGTTTTAGACACCATATTGCTTGTTTTTGCTCTATTTCGCCAACAAAAACCATTCCGAATACAGCCACAGCGCTGTTTTGTGTATCTGAGCAACATGACAGTGTTTCGTTCTTGAATGAATCAACCGTTTAAATGATTAAGTTCAATCGCAATGACTTACTTATTAACAGTGATTTGCTGCCACCTGCTGGCGGTTTTAATTTCAAATTTCTGCTTTTTCTTTCTTTTCTGGATTTTTTTTCATGTTTTAAATCATTTCAAATATCAGTATTCAGCGCTTTATGTTTAATATATCAAAACATTATGTATGCATTTGTAATTGCAGGTTAAATGCATTCATGTCTTGCATTAAACAAAATACATGTGTGTAAATACATCTAAATGCCACTTCAGATGCAGCTTCTGTGTTGATTTAATTTGCTTGGTAACAGCCCAAATGTCTTATTATTCTAATTCCCTGATTAAATGTAAGAATTTGACTCAAAAGTTAATGGACACTTTTAGAAAAAATGGCTTTATAAAGGTAAAAATGCCCATAAAATGCAAAAATCAGTTTAAACTTATTGGAAAAGATTAATTTCTATCAGTATGAACTGACCACCACACAGAATATGAAGAATATTAAAAACATTAGGAGTCAGCTGTCTTCGGCAGTCCTTAAGGTACCAGCACAATAACACACTCAGCAAAATATCGTCATCAATAAAATCCCAGAAAATATCGAGATATAATTTTGTCAATAGTGCACACCCCTAACTCAAAGCTATTTTTAATGAAACCTTAGAGGTTTCTGTCCCTCTACTCAAAGTCAAGCTAACTAAAACTTAAAAGATTTAAAAGGGTTATAAATCTGTTCATCATATTAAGCAATCGGGTCTCTTCACAAGACTTGAATCAAAGCGCTCGATTAATTTTACAACGCCTTTATGGCCTTTTCCAGATCTTTTACGTTTTGCCTACCTGGTCTATCAATGGAGGTATGAATTCTACGAAACGTCTCAGGTTTCATTAAAAATATCTTCATTTGTGTTTCGAAGATGAACCACATATTATGGTTTTGGAATACATTAAGTTAAATAAATGTAGGGCTGCACGATAAATCGCATGCGATATTTAACGTGCATCTTGTCAGTAAAGCCGGTTCTGTAATCAGCGGTAAATCTCCATCACCTGCGGGCTTTCACATGGAGCAGAATTTACTACACAGAGCCGTTGTTCACTGACAAGCTGCGCAAAACCACAATCATATTTTCGCATGTTTTGCGCAGCTTGTCGGTGAACAACAGCTCTGTGTAGTAAATGCTGCTCCATGTGAAAGCATGCACGTGATGGAGATTTACCGCTGATTACAGAACCGGCTTTACTGACAAGATGCGCATTAAATATCACATGCGATTTATCGTGCAGCCCTGATTTTGACCATTTAAATTTTGGGGTGAACTAGGCTAATCTTAGTTTTAAATAATAGCTTCGCCAAATGCATGAATGTAAATCAACCATTTCATTGGAAAGAACAGACTCAGAATGATTCGTTCTTAAATCAGACATATCTGCTTCTCTCATGAACCCGCCAAGGAGAGCTAGGGCAGATGTCAAGGTTTTCAGTGAAACACTGTTTAGATTTTGGTCTGTTTATCACACAAATGTACTATATGGCTTAAAAAGAGTGGAATTAGTGCACGAGTCATATAGATACTGTTGATTCTACACTTTTTCAAAGCTCGAAAACCTTAGCCATTCAGTCAAATCCTTATTTTTGGCTGAACTATTCCTTTAATAGCCAAAGGTATCTCCCATGGTATTGTCTCAATGTGTGCACAGTAAGCTACTTTGGATAATGTCACATGCAGAATTAAAAATGAGTCCTAAAGGAATATCCCAGCAGTAAAAAGACCTCTGTGCAGCAATGAAATCCCAAAGTTATGCCTCTCCACACTGAAGATCCTGGCACTTTGACTGCAATGTGAGAGAGATCCGAGGGAAAGTTGTCCTCATGGATAGACTGCGCCAGCATGTTGTGTCAACTGCTGTTACAACACAGTCAGCACATTTTCTAACGAGCCAAAGCTGACACCAAATATCTCATCCACAATAAAGTGTAAGGATATCAACTTTTTATGTACTACATTTAGAGCAATACTACGGTCTCAAGTAGAAACACGGTAACGGTTCATAAACACACAAATTGTAAACCAGCATATGTGCATGTAAGCGAAACACAAACTTGGTTTAGAGTAGACCTTAATCCTTATCATTTCTACAATGATAAATCGAACTCACTGCGCTCTTTGAGTTTAACAAGAGCTCGTGTAACAAAGTTTGAAACATTATATCTCCTCAGAACAAGCTGTAGCCTAGCCTACGTTTGCTTATGATGATATAAAATCACAAACGCATGTTCTATGCAGCTATACAAAGTCCTCCACCAGTAACCTCAGTAACGCCTCAGCAAACAGCCTCTTTTGTTTCCGATCATCTGCCGTGTTTTTGTTCACTTACCCGGTTTTTCGGTGAGCACGAGCGGGTGAATTGAATATAAGAGAACCAGTCCATGCAGTAAAGTGCTCCCAGACATCTCCACTTAAAACCGCGGCGAATGAGAGTAAAACGCGAGGACGCATTGGAGAAGCGTCACCGGAGCATGTTTACCGGGAGAAACTCGTGTACGTGTGTCCGCGAGGATCCCCAAACGCCTTGAATGAACTCTTCCGTGTTTCTCTCTCCCACAGGCGGCACCAAGCGGTTACTAGACCAGTCTGACGGGTCTGTCTAGTGTCAGGCTGTTAGTATAGTAACCTAGTATACATACTAAGTATGATATGGATACAAAGTGATACTGAATAGAGATAAACGATACATAAACAACGCTTGTTTCTTGTTTCAGCCTTTATTTTTCATGCACATTTACTTTTATTTATTTAGCAGACACTTTTAGTCAAAGCGACTTAAATGAGGAGCACAACAAGCGATTCAACTTAAGGAAAAGTGCTAAGTTAGCAATAAAAATGTATTATCTATTTAAAAATACATTGAGCTACTATGATCTATAAGAAATATTGCAAATGATGTGTATTTTCCCCTCAGTTTTGACGTAATTTCCGCCACAATCAACCATTCAGACAGTATACCCTTACGAAAAAGAAGTTTATTCAAGTGTGCTATTATTAGTATGCTTCTTTTAAACTAAAAATAGGAAAGTATACTTTTAGTCTACTTTTTATGTACTTCTCAGAAATGGGCTTTGTGTACTTCTCAGAAATATACTTAAAATGACATTTAAGTATACTTGACTTATACTTAGAAAAAGTCTAAATATATTTGAGCTATACTTGCGTTCATAGAATCCGTGTTTTCATTGTTATAGTGTTGGGGGTGCTAGTACACATCTTCAGTACAGAATTTCCCAAAAACACAAGTGAAGAAGAAACCGAAACAACAGACGCTTCCACATGTATTCTAACACGATCATCAGACATAAAACAGCATCAAAACTGTGTAACGTTATGGAATAAAATGTCGACCAATGAAGAGGTAACAATGACTGTCAAGCTTCGGGGTGTTGATCGACTCTATCTACGTTTTGATTATCATTCTGAATCCAATTCATAGTCTTTTGTCAGCTTTTTGTTCAAAATGTTATTTCTTTTAATGCATGAAGCTAGAATCAAATGTTTTTGTTTACAAGCAGATACTCTGTTCTTTTGATGTTTTGTATGTTCAGATATTCATGTAACAAAATACATTCATATTAATACCTAAATAGGGACATAGTAGTATACCTCAAGTATGATGTAAAGTTCACTTAAAAAAAACGTACGAGTATACTTGCAGTATAAAACTACTAAACTAGTAGTTTACTGAGACTGTACTTCAAAGTGTACTAAAAATGCTACTACAAGTATTTAATTAGTCAACTATCAGTATACCTATAAGTTCACTTTTAGTATAGTTGCAGTACAAACTAAACATTTTGATGTAAACTAGTTGTGCACTCAAAGTTTACTACTGTTATACTTAAAGATACTTAAAAGTATACTTTTATATACTAGAAAGTGGGCCAATTTAGTCCCAATGAGTATTGAAATAGTACACTTACAAGTATACTACAAGTAAGTATACTTACTCAAATAAACTTGAAGTATACTACTTTTTGGTAAGAGTAGGCCTACAGTTACTAAAAAAGCGTGTAACTTGAGATGAAACATATGGAGAAAAATCAAGGCAAATAATATATTTTTTATTGTGTGTCGCATCCTAATCTAGCTAATCGAACTTTAATTTTGTCGAATAAAGCAAACTATGTCAAATAAGTGTGAAAATAATTGTGGTTATTTAGGATAGCCTACATAAAATGATAGCTGTGAAATTAGCCTTAGCAAGACAAATAAAACGGCCATTTTATTTAGAAAATGTTAAAATGTCATTTGCGCCATAAGATGTGCTGGCTTGAGATATGGTTCATCCTGACTTGGTTCAATGAGAGTTTTGTTTTTGTTTTTTTTGTGGTGGATGTATTCACTTTTAGACATTGTTAGTGGGCAAATAAACTCAAAAGAGTCTGAAAACGGTTTTTAAAAAACGTCTAAAAAGTCATCTGAATAAAAGTATTATGTGCTGTAATACCAGGCAGTGACCGGTGCGTGTAACATGTGGCCACTGATAGACTCCACAGCATATGACACATCATCTGTGCCAGGAGAGCACAGGCCTGTCTTTAACATCCTGGGCCATTAAGTTTTATTACTGTCATTATAAAAAACCCTGCAGACCGACACCGTGCAAAGATCATCATCAGTGATAATAAAAGTGAAAAAAGGCTGATTTTTGCATGTTTCTGCTTTTGCATTTGATAGCCTATAGCACAGCAAATGCTATACTGTAAATATATACAAGCACATGTGTATAATTTGTGTGTGTGTGTGTGTCGCTTACTTTTATTTAAAAATATAAATCATTTTATTTCTGCAGCCTTTGAACTTATAAAGCTATTGCGCTCTATGCTGGAGAGAAATCAGTCAACACAGTGTACAGTACAGGTCAGATTTAATTTCAGTTTGCAATTACATTTCATTTTTATTATAAAAAACATTCGTTTTTATTCTTTATTGCATTGTTTTAATGCAGCAACATTTTCTTCTCAGTACCAGATTATTTATGTGTATACAGTATAAGGGTAATCCTTTAATAAATAATGATCTTGTGAAATCATTTATACTGTATGCATACAGTTTGTAAGGTTTTAATAACAAAGAGCCACTGCTCCCAATGCTGCAGTAATTACGGCATGAGAACAACTAGTTTTACTAAAAATGGTTATTTGTTATGATGGAACTAAGAGTCTTAATTTTCAATGCCAGTTCAAAAAAACCTGTATAGCACCTAAACAAATCATAATTTGATCTTTTACATGACCAGAAATGTTATGCTACAATACTGATCACTATATATACAGTAGGTTTCCTATATCTTTCCACCCAGTGATATCTAGTATTAAACACTAGATGGTGCTGTTTGACATAGTTATTTGACAACTAAACAACTTTGAAATAATGTAATGGAAATGACAGCAGTTAGGAATATTATATGATAGAAAGTAACTGTAAACAGTGCAGTATTGAGGTTTGACTCTCTGTTGTAGTAATAAAAACATACATAATTATGCCAAATCTGGTTTAGCCTACAGATGAATGCAGGTGCTATGTACCTGAGATGATTCACAGAAATAAAAACAAAGACAAAATTCTGTTCAATACAAATTTGATTAATAACGGCTCAGATCATTTTGGCACCTTTATGGTCATAAGCACAAGTGCAGCTCATAATTGAATCATCTCAGACAGATGGTTTAAATGAAGAGCTGTAATATAATACAGCATTATATCTCATTCACACTTGGGTTACTACATCTGTCTGAACTGAGCAGATACATCTTTCTGCCAATGATTAAGAATGTTTATTATAAAATGTTACTAAATTGTATTAAAAATGTCTTCCTTTTTTCCTTTCTCCCTCTTTTTTTAAAGAATTTCTTTCTTTCTTTCTTCCTTTCTTTCTTTCTTTGAATAAGCACAATGGAGGAGCTAGAAGAAAATAATGAGCTAGAAGAAAAATTGGTAATAAATATCCTTTGAAAACTATTAATTATAATATAATATAATATAATATAATATAATATAATATAATATAATATAATATAATATAATATAATATAATATAATATAATATAATATAATATAATATAATATAATATAATATAATATAATATAATATAATATAATATAATATAATATAATATAATATAATATAATATAATATAATATAATATAATATAATATAAAATATATTTAATATATAAGCATAACATATTTTTTGTTAAATATATACATGCATGTGTTTGTATTTATATATAGATAATAAATATACACAGTATACTCACATATATTATGTAAACAAAAACTTTTATTTTGGATCGTTTGACAGCACTAAATATAATATAGGTACTTATTAATTAATGAAATAAGCTGGAAAATATATATATAAAATAAGTTGTTGTGAAATCAAAGAAAGTTCAAGGTAAAGATCATATTTTTATTTATTGTGCATCATCTCCGAAACCGAGCCTAAATTTTTTCAAATGATGCAAATTTTGTCAAAAATAAAAAAAAAAGGAAATATTATTTAACTTTGTGGATACATAAAATTAGTATGATATGAGACAAAATTATTTATTAAAAATATTTAAAATGTCATTTGCACCACAGAACTAATGATAATTTAGGATATGTTTGATTGAGATTGTGATTAGGCTCTTGATTTTGACTAAAATGATCACAATGACATAGTTATTAATATAATATAATATAATATAATATAATATAATATAATATAATATAATATGGCCAATGTAATCAAAATATGAATGTCAACATATATTTATTCATACTGAAAAAGTTTGGCCCTGTAGTAAGCTTTGTTCAACATTTCCTTTTAAATGCAGAAATTAAATATTCATGCATCCTTAATGATGTATGAAAAAACAGTTTTCCGTCATAACAGAGGGTTTCTGTTTCCCTGCTGCTAACACACTCCAAAAGTAACATCCCGTACCAATAACCCCAAAGCTGTTTATTTCAGTACACTCCTGCAGAGCTCAACAGCTCAGTCGATGTCTGACTTCATACATTTCTTCCATTTCTGCAGAGAAATCCAATGGGACCTCCACTCTAGAGAATGACATCACAAAAAAATGCTGTAGATTTATTTATCAATGACAACAAATCATAACAAAAATACCACAGCACCCCGAGGGTCTCCGTAAGAGCGCAGGTTAGTGTTTCACCTCATTGCTCACATACTACTTCAAAGATGACATTTTTACTTAACTGTGCGTTTTTACTTATTGGCACCACATTCCTCACATACTGTACATTTCGTTTAACACAATCAGCTGCCTTCAGATGAATTTTTCCTGGGACAGACACCTTACTGTATAGAAATTGTATGCATTTGATAAGTGACAATGCAAGAAAGAGTTTAGAACAGAGACGGGAATGTAAAAAGTGAAGGAAACTGGATGTGTTTATTTGCCACTGGAGTATCTGAGATGCATTTTTCCTTTAATTAATAAAGGATTGCTGGAATACCTGAGAGATTTCATCTCTAGATGACAAAGAAAGAATGGTGAGAGACCTTGGTAGCCCCTTTTTACATGAAGGATAGGCTAT